TATGATATGTTTACTTTTACTCTATGCTCGTGTCCCAGTGGCCTGATGCTGTTATGCCTCTGAGGACCCAAACTGTCATTTCAGAGGCACCGATAAGCAAATCTAGCAGGGCCCCCCACTCTTCCATGCTGCATGAAGGACTGCTCCAATTGTTGTATTTTCATCTTGTAGTGCCTCTTCTCCATTTCCCTGCATAAATATTTCGACGCCAGAGCTCTAATGCTGGTGGGGGTGCTGCAGTTTCCAGCCTTTCGCTACTGAGAGATTTAAAGTGCGATATAAAAATTCAGGTGAAAAACAATGCAAGGCAGAAAGGAATGCAGGCGATAAATCTCCAAAACGCCTACTGCAAATGTCCCATGAATCTGCCGCCAGGGCGAGAGCGTCTGTGTGAGTGTGCTGGGCTGATATGGAGGGGAAAAAAAGAAGAGAGAGGAAGGGATTGCTAAGTTGGCTGTTTGACTGATATTTAGCTGAAGCTCAGCGCGGATGAATGAGGCTGAAAATCCTCTTTTCCTCCTGGGTGCAGTTACTCTGAGCACTGTGATACGGAGCTACCTCAGAGAGAAGGATGCTCTTGTAACATTATTTCTGCCTCCTATAAGGAATAAAATAAAACTGTCCTCAGAAGATTGGAGTTATACACAGAGCTGAGGTGCATTAACCAAACAGAGAGCTCTCCGCTGAGGCTTCCCATGGACACAGGCCTCTCTGGCACTAATCTCCCCTCTGCCCCGACACTTTCCTCACAGCTCACACTTCTCATGATCCAATCATGAAACCACCGGGAGAGGAAAAACAGGAAAACAAAATAAAAAAAGAGTCAGTGAGTGACAGCTGCGGTCTCATCTCAAAATACAAATCAGTTTTTTGCATTAAGAAAAAGGAAAAAAGATGTTACCAACTTAGACAAAAAAAAAGCTCTTTATCTACCACCACCTGACAACCTGACCATTGGGCTTAATGGAGCAGAGCAGAGGACTACCAGTGGTATTTGTCACTGTTTTAAGAATCAGAGGTATAGACCTGCAGACTGAAGAGTTGCAGTGTGTGGGTATATACTTAAATCTGACGACCTGCAAAATCCAAGCTCCCTTTTTCCTTTCAGCATGATGCTGAAAATAAATGACAGTTGTCCAAGATGCAGCGCGACATTCCTGAAAAGCAGCGTTTCAAATGCTCAAGGTGTGTTGTTTTATTAAGCTTTTTCTATCTTTGCTGACATGCGACAGTGTCCAAGTTCAAAGTAGGACTGCTGCAGCTGCTTATTCAAAGCCACTTGGTAAACACACGTTACTTGTGGAGTTAATTAGTTGCAGATGAGCAGATTTATGAGCAGAGCCGGGGAGACTCTGGAGGTTCTGTCCTGTTTGAAGCAGAGAATCGTCAATTATTTGGGAACAGACGGCTTCAAAGTGCAAGTTTTGATTTTTGCCTCAGCGGACTAGATAAAAAAGCTTGGATTTAAAGAGTTATGAGGGGCCGTTTTGAGTCGAAAACAAACTGGGGTAACATTTTGCGTCGTCGACATTAAGCCGATGTTATTTCTATCTCGTTTCCTTTTAAGCAGTCGTCTTCTTACTGAATTTGCTCCCAGACACATTCTTAAGCACGTCATCCTCTTGTCATTGTTGGTTGATCACAACTTTTCACTAAATACGAGTTTATTTTTTATTCTATTATTGACATGCTTGTTCAAATAATAACAGGCTTTACAAGTCAGCCCAGCTGAAATGATCTGACAGCTTCGGAGAGAAGAATTGTCTGAGGTGCCAGCGTTGAGCAGACTATTACAGAGGCTATAAGATGTTTTGGCAAAGAACGCTCAGACCCTGACAACTTGTCAGGCGAGATTGCTCCACTAACAGCTTTCCTTTATTTGTGACTGACAGGTACATTTTTAGCTGCTCTTCCTCTCAGGTTCAAGACTTTAGTGAAGTTCCTGATCTATATAGGGCAACTGTGACTGTAAACACAGCAGCCTGAAGTGGTGTGAACAGGTGGCCTGCCTCATAGGGCCACTGATCATGTTGTGTGTCTACAATAAAAGTTCAGTTATGAGGAAATGCCCGAGCGCTTTAATAGCTTGAGACAGAATGGCTGGCTCAGATGTGCTGATAGAGAAAATGTCAGTGCTGAGAGTCTTCTGGGAAATCAAATGCTGTGCCCTGAACTAAACTGAATTCATCAGAGGTACAGTCCTTGGTTATAAGCCATTAAAAATGCTGTAGGTTAGTCTTCACAGCTATATGTTAATTTCTTCTGTCCTGCTTCACAATGACATCACTTTTGGCCTACTTGTAGCTCTGAATGGCTTTAAATCTCTTCCTCCATGTTTTTGTTTTTGGACATAGTATCCTCTGGAGGGTAGCAGATGATATTTTCCGAGAGAAAGGAGAGAAATGGTTTGCTAAATGCCAAGATTCAGCCCTTTGTTGTCATTAGGTCGGCGATTGTTGGCAGGCATGCTGCCACAGAGGCCCTGTTGAACCACCGACTTTCCCCCTCTTCTCCACATTGACCCATATAGGTACTTTGAATCCCTGGCAAGCCAAGTATATCTGGGCCCCCTTCCCAGGAAGACCTTAGAGAGGTGGGTTTGTGGTGGTCGTGCATGCATGATCTAAAAAAGTAGAAATATGAGCATGCTGTCAGCTCCCGTACATACATGCGTACAAAATCAGGCTCCTGGCTTGTGACAGTATTTTGGATGCAGATTAAAGTATCCTAGGCTTTGAGTCTCCAGGTGGTTCTCTTCTAGCAGACTCAGCAATGATTTAAGGTGAGGAGGGGTACAGGATTTTGTTATTTATACAGGGTTCCTACACAGTCTGAAAGAATATGGAAATTTGTTTGAAATGTTTTCCAAGTTTGGAGAAATAAGGAAGAAATGTAGCATATGTTTTAACCATCTCAATCTTAAATGTCCACCTATCCATTCAGGCATCAGTCAATCATGAATCTGTTTTTTCATCCATCCTCCTGCTTTATCTATTCTTTGGTTTATGCAAGTGCCATAGAAATGTTTGAAGTATGCAACTAAAACTTAAAAAATGTGTAGCAACACGTTTTATAGTGTATGAGGCATTTTAATCTCAATATGTTAATGTTATCCAGGTCTAAGCTTGAAGTGAAGGGCAAAACTTAAAACTGATGTCCTTTACTTTGTAGTAGCAAAGTCAGTGGCTTTTGTGCTGAAAAGGGATAAAAATCAAAACAAACAGAAACAGAAAGTGATAAAGTTAGAGGACCAAACAAAGTTTCCTCTAAGAAATGTGTTGACTGGCGTTCTTCCTGTACCCCCTCTCTTGGAGTCTGACATATAATCCCCAGATTAATTAGCTGTGTTTCAGTCACTTCGTGTAGCGCGACCCTCAGCAATCTTGCCTATCAACTTACAGGGCGCCAGAGTTTTCTTCTCTTTGATGATCGCCTTGGCTTCAGAGTCAAAAAAGCCTTCTCTGATCTGACACTAAAGGAAAGCGCCCCTGTAGTGCAGACTGATAAAAGCTCTGAAAAACAACATTTGGGTAGCACACACATCAACAGGGACGAAAGAAAAAAAATTGGATTAATTTGGTTGTGAAAACAAGAGGCGGTATGGAACAATGACAATCTGGCTCCTTTGGTAATTTCCTGTCGGCATCTATTCCTATGATGTGGTGGTGACTGTTCTGCCGGGATCAATCAAACCTGTGAGCAGATGGCATCGTATTCCTCCAGCAGACTGAGGGTTGTAAGAGATTTTTTTATTCCAGAGATGGTAATTGGCCTGCTATTCCATGGACCGGGAGTGTGCTAACAACCACTGCCATCACCGCTGCGCTGCGGCAACACCTCATGTTCTGATCTGAATGACTCATAATGTGCTACAGGCTCCATTTAGTTTTAACGCCAACTTGTGTTTAACATGGCTTCTACTAACAGGCAATAATGATAGTGTGGAAAAAGCAGCTACAAAACAGTCTTCTCCAGGGCTTTGTGAAAGTATTCATACAATGTTTTTCTGTGTTGTCAAATTACGGTAGAGACAAAATTATGGTTTTCATGTTTTGTTTTTGACATGTCATGGCAAAGAGAGCAAATAATCAGAGAGGCAACCAAGAGGCCGAGGATAACTGGAGGAGTTGCATAGATCACTACTATTTGTCCCATTAATAAGTGTTTTACCTATAGAAGAGCAGCCCGAAGGAAGTAGCACATTATTAATTGGCTTATTACAAAAGTAAGATTATCCTGACAAAAATGGTTCTTTATTGTGAATACAAGAAACTCATAATGATAAATATGCAAACCCCAAAAAGTGACAATATGGCTTGGATCGCTGCTCTTATTGCATACTGCTCTGATGCGTCATTTTTCTTCCACTTCACAATTAAAGCGCTACCAATATTTCAAGAAATGTACACTGACGTTTGACGATGTGATGCGAGAAAATGTGAGGGCATAAATTTGTTTAGAAGTAACTTGGAGCTTTTCATTTAGCATATTCAAAATGTTGTATTTCTATTTAGCATAAATATCCGGTCCCACACACACTTAGTAAGGCAGTCACAGTGGACTAACAGTAAACAAAAACACATAGTCTGCACTTCATTTGCAAATAAGGCTTGTATTTAGGTGAGGAAAGCTTATGTAGATAAATGGAACCGTGTGTGGGAGACCCGGCAAGCTGTATAAAAGGGAAACAGTGTAATTGCTTGCGCATGGTAAGAGTGTGTGTCTCTGAGACGGTGGGCACTTCAAAGCTTTGATGTTGGCGCTCCTAAATGAGGGCCACCAGAGGTCCCGACTAATGGGACATCATGGGGAGATTAGAGGCCAAATAGAGCAGGCAGGCAGGCAACACGCTCCTATGTATGTGCACGTTGCCCAGAAAAGCAGCGAGTTCCTGTGTGTAAACCTTTTGTAATTAAAAGTGAAAGATTAGCTGAAAGTCTTGGCTGGTAATTAGAAAGGAAGAACCTACTATTTACAGTATTGGTCAGTGCTTTCTATAGTATGGTATAAATCCTTTATTAAATAATCATAACAATAATTATAATAACAATCATAAAAGAGCATTTCTGTACAAAGACCCCTTTAAAATAACAACAACAGCAGTCCTAGTAGTGCGAAAAAAAACAGGGTGGGGGAATCTTGTCCTCTCATGTTTTTTGTTTTTTCTTTCCTCTTAGCCCTCCCAGTCAAAAGAGGGCGCTGTAATTGTCACTGTCAGTGTCAAATGAGTATATTTTATGCCGGCTCCAAAGGCAAACTGGATCCCCGAGGCTCCAAGGCACTTTGAAGAGAGTCAGTGGGGTCCATCAATGTGGGCCTCCGAGGACGAAAGATGCCGAGAGTGAGGGTGAACGAAATGAGTGCGCTTCTACAGTGAACCCGTTGAACGTCATTTCTAAGCTGGAGTGGGTGTTTCAAACAGGCATGTGTGTGTCCAAACATTACGGGTTGACTGTGTACTCAATGTTCTGTATATACAACAGTACATTCAGTTGAAACCAGATATTTATACATTGGAAAAATATGCACAACCTTTTTTCATTGTCTGACTAACTTTTACCGTATAAGGTTATTAAATCCAGAAGTGTAGGAACTGGTGCACTTCACAAAATGGATTGTACTAAAATGAAAGAAAATTGCATGGAATTTTTTATAGATTGGCCTTGAAGCTAAGCATAGTGTCAAGTTAGCTACAAAGTGACTTGACGACAACAAAATAAATGTTTTGGAGTGTTGTAGTCCCGTATAAATTGTGGGCAGAGCTGAAAAGCTGTGTGGACTCAAGACATACTAAATACCTGGCAGTTTCACCAGTTCTGTCTTGAGCAATAGGCCAACATTTCAGCAAACTATTGAGGAAAGTTTGCAGAAGGAACAGAGTGAACCAATTCACAGTTTAAAAATGCTTTTTTTCCCTCATTATTCTGGCATTTATTATTGGTAACTGACTTATGACAGTAACTGTTTAGTCGGATTTATTGTCGGGCGATGGAGAAAAAGGTCATGCGGTGTATGTAGACATCTACGTTCAACTGCACAAGTGAGGTGTCTGTGTATTCATGTGCTCAGGAATGAATGCTGAGATCGTTCTTGTTCGTCCTCTTTCTTATCATGGCTTACAAGTCTCTGACTGGTTCAAAACCGTGTCGTAAAACAAATACATAAAAAAAGCAATGACAAAAAAAGCTTGGCTGGTATGCAGTGATAAAAAAGAAAAGATTCCCAAAGTAGGCCACCATTAGCCAATAAATTGAGGTGGATGCTTGTGTGTGTTGGAGGAAAGATGGAATAGGTCCTTTAAATCATGGCTTTTGAGGTCCACGTGTAAAAATGTCTCGATGTTGCCTCGACAATCCTTTTTACCCCCCTACCCCCCAGCATTTCCACACACAATGCTTTGCTTTTAAGGCTTGTTGTGCATCTGGGCACACAGTCGCTCTGTTGATCGGATATGTCTATGGTTTGATTCTGATCCCATTTGTTCTTTTTGTTTTTTTGAAAGCACAGAGCGAGCAAAAGCTCCTGGGAGGGAGAAGCATGGGGGAATTCGAGTGCTCTGTCAGTCACAGTCTCGTTTGTTCTTTCGTTTGATTTGCTTCCTTCAGGGTTTTCGGTCTCTGCCCCAACCAGCAATCCATAGGTTGCACCGTCCAAATCTCCTTGACCTTTTCTGATTTGCCGCCAATGTAAACACGACCTTCTCTTTGACAGGAATCAGTAACAACTAAATCTAACAATAACACCTTTCCATCAGTAAAAGAATGCTTCCCTCCCTACCTCTACATACACCCATACATACGCACACACACACACACACACACACACATACATATATATCTATATATACTTTCTTCACCTCTTCTTTTCCCCAACTTATCTTTAACCACAGGCCTGGAAACTGGCCCGAAAGAAAACATTAAACAAAAATAAAGTGATTGAGTAGAAACTCAACTAAAAATACCACAGAGGGAAAGAAACTGAAGGGCCAACTGAGTGTGTAGCAGGAACAAAAGAGTCAAGGGGCCTTACAAAGGAGCTAAGTTCTAGGCCACTGTGTTCACAGGTGATCAAAAAATACTCTTTTCTAAACTTATTCCTATCCTACCACCTTTCCAACACAACGTATCCAAATCTGTCTGTGTAGTTTACAGTATCCAGTTGCAAAACTAGACTTATCTATGACGCATTTAGAAGCAGTTCTCTTTACGTGACCCGGGATTCAGCAATTGATATGTGTTGATATTCAGTGTTTGAGGCCTGTCATCCCTGCAGTGAAGCAGTCCATGGAGGTAACCCTGGTCTCTCAGTCGTTGATGCATTTGCAGAAACAACTGCCAATACTGGACGGTGCTGCGTTCTCCAAACAAGTTCTCACTGAGACCTGCACCACTGAGGAACACTAAAGTTGGCAAAGATGAAGAAAACAGAGAGAGATTTTCACAAAATGCCTGTATCTTTTCCTCATCACTTCTCTCATGCTTCAGTGCAGCAGCGCTGCTGGTTGAGTTTGACTTTGTGCTTGAGGCCATCGTACAATTCGAAGTTGTAGTTCTCCAGAGTGGTGGAGGATCGTGACGAGAGCCCACTGTAGGAGCACGTGCAGTACAGGAGGAGGCCGGCGCACACTGCCCCGAGCAAGACGCCCAGGGAGCTCATGACGATGATTGTGACCAGGATGGGGTCCAATGTGTATAACCACGAGTTATCTTTTTCTGAGGTGTGTGTCACTGGAGGATCTGATGATGGGGACGTTGGCACGTTCCAGTCTGGGTTATGCAAACCTAAGACAGATAGAGGAGAGTCGATGAGAAAAATAAGGTATTTACATAAGTTATCGCTGACTGTGTCAGTCCCCTTTATGACCACACTTTCCAGCAGGATAATTCATCATGTCAGAAAGCTAAAATCAAAACCTGAATTTTTGAACAGGACAATGAGTAATTATTCAACGTACTAACAGACACTAGATATTTATCCATGCAGTGGAACGGGACACTTGCATCCTCGATGTGCAGCCAAAAATATCAGCAGGAACTTTGTGATGCTATATAAAAATTAAAGGTGTTCCTGAGGCACAAGGGAGTCCAAACTCGTATTAACAAAGTGTACCTAATAAAGTCATGGATGAGTGTATTTTGGTATGTGAATGATGTGCCTTACCACTGCCAAGAGGGTCTCTGCCCATGGAAAGCCTCCCATCTCCAATGTGTTTGGTGCCTGTCAAAGAAAAGCATAGGATCTTCAGCAGCAAATCAATTTACACTTACTTTTCACATTCGTCCAAAAGAAATCCTATAAAACTTGATGCCAAAGAATAAAAAAAACAATCTTGTGTTTAAATGTTACATATGTGTCAGATGGCTTTATTTTTGTGCAATGACAGTGTTTTTTGTTTTGTTGATTGGCACAAAAACTCTGAATATGATGAAACATGGCAGCAAGAGTAAAAGACAGAACCCATCAAACTTTATTTAAAGCAGAAAACTAGGGCACTGAAGTTCACAAAGAAGTTACAAAATGTCACACATCACCCAAAGCCAGCTGTTTTTCTACTTGGAACAGCACTCCAGACCTATTGTACTGTACAATTACCCTCCAAATATTCCCGGTTATGTGTCAAACAAATAAACACGAGCAGGATACATTGGAACACGTACCTAAATAAATCTAAGGCGAGTGTGCATTGCCATACTAATATTAGCAATACATTACTGTTGTGCACTTCTGGTTAGTTTGTCACTTTACCGATTCATACATTCATTTTATCCGCATATTTTACGCTCAGACATAGTCTACTGAATAAATACTTCATACTACACCATATTTCCTTTTGACATGGAGTCAATCTCAGAGTTTTTGACTCCACTTCCTAATACTGTACAGCAAATACAGTGGACACTGGTATTTGCATGAAAGCTGAAATCTGCAAGACCCACTGTAAAAATGCATATAACTGCCTTGTTAAATAGCTGAAATACCAAATATATCTTATAAATCAAAAGGCATTGCCACTGAAGCTAATAGCCACAATCTTCTTTATTTCTGTTCTTGGGGTCTGGCTGCTTTGCAAACACCAGTTAATAGAAAAAACTTCACATAGATCAATTAGCAAATACTAAACTACGAATAGATGAGAGTTCACTGCTCCATAGAGCATGAAAATCATTGGTTCTCGAAGTAGGTTTCAAAGTTTCCTAAGGTGGGAGTGACTGATGATAAACCTCCCTTTTTGTTAAACACTCTGAAATGACTAAATATGAAATGACAAAGAGGCAAAATGACTGGCCATTTCTTTTACTGTAAAATATAGAGGCCTATAAAGTGAATCACTGAACGGTTTTAAACGTGGCTTTTGTGTCTTTAGCTCCATTTCATTCCAATAACTATGCTAACAAGAATACACAATCAAGTGGAAATTAGGTGTTTGTGGCAGAATATCTAAGACAGGAATATTTACAAGATCAGTACCCTTGTAAATATACCAAATAAATTCACCTACACATGATACTTTCTTTTGCCAGTATAAGAAAACAAAACAGACAAATGTATGCTTTTAAAATAGAAAAATATGACTTTATTAATAGAGAAAGTTCATTAAGATACATTCCTGTCAAACACACAGTCATCACATTTGATAAAGATTGTATAAGACTGCTCATTCTGTGCCAGGACAAGTTCAAAACACAATATCAATGTTGAAATCATTGCTGTCAAGGTTAAGAGCGATGCATTTGACGATTAAAGAAAGAAAAAAAAATTGGCAACGTTTACAATCAACAAAGTAGTGCTTATGCCTGCCATACTCTTTGACATGGCAGGTGGCCTGAACTTAGACCTGATGCCAACGTCTGAATCAGAACATGAGTAAACTTCTAATAAAAGCAGCACTTTGGTTGAGTTTTTAACTTTGTTTCTTTGTGTCTATCTGTGTTTGCTGCTCTTGGCGAGTGTTCAGGAGTGGGAGTAGCTGCTTGGCAAGGGATGCGACTAGATCTAGAGGTCTTTGATGGCCGATGGCATTATTAACACGGTTGCCAGGACAACGGAGGCTGGCAAGGAACCGGGCGACGGAGGCGCAGCAGATGGGAGGAAAAAAGTGCTTACTGCAGCCTTAATAAATGTTATCCATCCATTAACTAATTACTGCTATTAGAAGCTTGGTGGGTAATGGTGTTGGGATGGATTGAGTAAGGTGTCCAGTCCCTCTCTTCTCAAGCTGATTTAAAAGCACAAAATGAGAGTGTGCCAAAAATAGTTTTCCTCCACAGCGGAGGAATAAAAAGTGCACCTTTGTCGTTTTGTCAACAGACTGAGGTGTATTCTGCTGAGGTGTGGGGAGAAGGTGGTGGGTTTTTGCAGTTTTGACAGGCCCAGAGTGCAGTACCCCATTAAGCTGCAGAGCAAACGCTCCAATTTCATTCAAACCATCTGAGCGCAGGTCAAAGCCCATCAGCTCTGGAGCAACTGATGGGGGGGAAATCGGTGCCAGTCGGGGACATTTTTTGCAAAATTGCAAAAAAGCAATATTTTTTATTATTGTGGCATCCAAAGCCAGAGCCCATAAATGTAAATGTATGGGAAGCCCTCTGCAGAACTTAATGACATTTGAATTAGCTGAACTTATTTGAAAACATAAAGGACACTGGCCTGTAAATACCAGGAGAAAGTGCATCTGCAGTCTTTGACAGCATCTTATGGCACAAAAGAGATCAAGCAGAACAGCTGGGCTCAGGGTTCCTAAATGGTTCACATGTCAAAATTCAGGACTTTTCCTGTCTGACTTTTAAAGGTATTTGTAATGTTCACCAAAAAAAACTGAACTATTAATTTATGACAGACGTTTCTACAAAGGTCAAATTTAAACACGGGATGGATGGATGAAATGATAAAACAACATGACTGAGAGTAAAGTCAGGAAACACGTATTATTTTGTGGAGAAACCCTGAAGATCTGTCCACTGGAAGTCATAATATCCTGAAGCTCTCTTTCAAGGCTGCGCTCATACACTCCAAAATACTACACTTATGGCCTCCAGCTGGTCTTGTGGCATTGTGGGATTTGTAGGAGCAAAAATCAAGTAAGAAGTGGTGATGGCCGACAGCTGTGTCTATTTACAATCTCCCTTAAAACAACAAGCGCATATTCGCACTGAAAAACACGACAAGGCTCGGCCTGGCGCAGGCTTTCATCTGGGCAGCTCAAAGGTGAGGGGGTTGGGAGTAGTGAGGAGGGAACAACCGGAGTGGGTGGTAAGGAGCACGAGTGGGAGTGGAACAACGTGCTTTATTACACCATAGAGTCAGGATGAAAACACTAAACACTGAGAACGGCTGCATCCATCACCGACTGATGCCTTTATCAGGAGAGGATGAGCCGCTCAATCAAACAAGCTGGTTATCTCCGTTTTGCGATGCAGGGATTTAAGTATGACGGATTTGCATTCTTTTGGGTTTTAAATGTGCACATGCTGTGTTTGAAAGATCAATGGAAACATATTTTCTTCCTTTCCATCCGGTGCTGCAACGCCCTCCACGTTGGCATGAGTTGCATCGCAGCTATCCAGCGTTGTTGATACAGAGACACCATGAGCAGTATTTTCTTCCAGCTTGCCAGATCATTTCCACAGTTACAGCACAGCAAACGTGTCTCAGCCTAACAGTTTTCTCCCCTTTTTGTGTCTCTTGGGTCTTGTTTTAGCCTTGCCGTTTGGCAGCTCTGGCTGGCTTAACCTCTTCCCTACTCCCTTCCCATCTACCCACAGTCACACATGTCTTTGTCTGAGTCCACGCTGGGGTCGTTCCTGGCGGACTGTCAGGGTTACGAGGGAGCCAGACGCTGCTAAATGGTCCGAATCAAGCTGCCCGGGAAAAATAACTTCGTCCCTCTCATCGGGGGCAGCGTGGTGTGATAATGTCAAGAGCAAACTCCTTTATGAAACAAAGATGCAGAGTGTTTCTTTGCAAATTTTCACGTTGTGTCACCATCACCATGGTAGCATAGTAGCTGTAAACAGGAGTGGATCTTCTACGGACATCACAAGTTGGCATCCAGACGGCTAGCCGGTGCAATAAACTAAGTGTTTCTGTTTTTAGCAGAGGGTGCGGTGTCGGTCCCGGCTGTCCAGCCTTACTGTCAGGACTGGCTCCACCCCTGGGGTGGCCATACTGGTGGACCAGTTAGAGTACTGGAAGCACTGTGAGGAGCTGTGATAGGCCACGGAGAGCTGGTTCTTCTTGGTGGCCAGGTGTTGTCGGCAGCAACAGAGCGCTCTGACCAAGATGGCTACCGCCAGGAAAAGCAGGGCGCCTCCGGCGGCCATAATGTAATACCAGTGGATGGGCAAGGGAGGCACAGGAACGCCTCCCCCTGGTGGAGAAATACAGAATGATTGGCCAATGGGAAAAGAGAGGAGCGGCATTTTTTTTGTTTATTTTCTGCATTTAATTTGCTGCTTTATGTTCTTTTTTTCCATCTCTTAGCTCACAAACAGCAGGCGTGCAACTCATTTGAGCATGCACAAGCATGCCAGTTGTAAAGAATAAAACAAATCCTCAATGCCATAAATAATAATAATAATAAAAAAAACATGAAAGCATTTACTTCTGTCATGGAGCTGGGGTTGCAGTTTGAGGACAACTTTTCACACCAAGATCACCAAGAGATTTAGCTTGACACCAGTCCAATAGCTGATTCAGGCAGATGCAATGCAGGCAAGTCTGTTTGAAGCTGCAGTGATTTTACTTGGTGTGAACTGAAGCCACAACTATTAGTTATACAAGCAATCACACACATTGAATTAAGGAACTTCCTCTTCCTGTTTCACACTGGCACGGGATGCCACATAAAGCCTTTGGAGCCATGCAGGAATCAGTGGGACGGCCAATTATTTAGCTGGCTCATGTTGCTTGATTTGTCCCAAGTTCGTAAATTATCCTGTTCTCTTGTCTCGGCTTCTTCACATTCATCAGCCATCCTGGCCGGTCCTCTCCTCCTCAAAGCCAAGAGGCTGTCTCCTTAGAGAGCATCTCCACAGATCCTCTCTGCTTCTTCCCCTGGCGCCAACCTCTCCTTCCTTAAATTCTTGGTAAGAACAAACTAACCGTCTTCCAAGAAGCTCGTATGCTCCTTTAAAATACAGCTGAAATAAAACCCAGATGAGATTTGGGGAATACGAATAAATTAGCATCCACATGAACTGTGTGAAATCTCACACCAAACTAGGGACGGGGGAAGCAGAGCTCAATACTTCCTGATTTTTGGACCGTGTCACATAATTACAGAGAGGGAAATGGTGCGTGATCCTGCTACTTCACACCGCACACACTCATCAGACGTAACCGAGTGGAGGGACCCGCGCTCGGTGCTGCTCAGTCACTCTATCTGATTGCTTTCCGCCGGGAAAACCGCCGCGTGCGTCATTGTCAACGCCAGCGCTCGTGCGCGTTCGTCGAGGGTTAGGGGATTTTGCGCGGGAGTGCGAAAGCCAGGGAAGTGCACACGCATCACATTCTGCAATAAAAGCCCCCAGACCAGCCTGCATCTTAGTGGAGGGCATTATGAGACGGTGAAACACTTGCATCAATCACAAAGAGACCTCCTCCCCCCAATCCTGTCCCATCCCATCCCCACCTCCTTGGATGCTCTAAACATTTTTCATGAGGCATGGAGTTATTAAATCCCTTCAGGTTGTATCCTGTAGACTCGACCTGAGAGAATAAAGCTATTGTCAAATACCTGTCTGCATGAGGTTGGTGTGATTTAGCTTGCCTTACACACAGAGTTTGAGACTAATTCTTTGTTGGTGACAAAACTAACCTACTATGCAACTTCCCTTAACTTTTAAACTGAAATTGTGTTTATCAAATGTGATTGTTTTCATTTTAGTAGGAGGTTTAGATGTTTCTTCATGCTGGCTGATGATAAAAATGAATGCAGTTTAGTCAGTTCAGCTCCAGCAGACTCAACATCGTCAGTGAAGGAAAGGTTTGAGGCGACATTGCAGAAAGTATTCACACTCTTGCGACTTTTCCACATTTTGTCACGTTTCAACCACAAAGATCAATTAATTTTATTGGGATTTGATGTGCCAGACCAATACAAAGTAGCATATAGTCATTAGAAATCTCATTAAAAAACATGTTTGTATTCTCTGTGTCAACACTTTGTATTAGTTGCAAGTGTTTCAGGATGTCACTATCAGCTTTGCACATCTAGAGAATGAAATATTTTCCTTCTATTTCACATTTCTGCTCTACTTTGTGTTGTTCTGTTACCTAAAATCCAAATAAGATTCATTGACGTTTTCTGGTTGTAGTGTGACAAAACTGGAAGGCACTGTAATCTTTCGTTTTGCAGTTTGGACAACCAACGCGAGAACCCCCCCGTCTCCCCTGGGTTGATGCATTCTGACGGGCAGGAAAGCAAGACCACATTTAGGAAGTGACATCCTTATAAAAGCCAAACTCACCTGGGTTTTCTGGAGAAAACGCAGAGAAGGGTTCTATGAGGACAGGGAACACAAGATTCAGACAAGAACAGAAGAAGAGAATCTATTAACATGACGGAAAAATGTCACAGAAATATCTCAAGACGATCTAAATGAAATTTCGCTGATATTTAATGTGAATAATGGCATTTTCTGAGCTTTTTGGGAGGAATGCAATTTCTTACATGGCATGAGTTTGGTTGTGAGAAGGTGAGGAACAGTGTGTGTGGGCTACATGAATGCGCTTACTGGTGGACTGGTGGGGAAGGCTGGGAGGTTCTGGGTGGCTGTAAACTAACGGAGCAGAACCTTCACTTTGATTGTGTGGAATGCAAACAGAAAAAAGCGGCAGTGTGTGTGCGTCTGACAGAGTGTTTGACAGCGTGTGTGTGTTGAAGGGAGGGCGGTTAAAAGAGAAGGAACGAGGGGGGGAAACAACTTGGGAACGAGTTGGCGGGAACACAAACGCGCTGTGAAAAACTCAACTGTGTTGCTTGATAAGAAACATCCCAGCATGCCATGGGAGTGGCAGGAGGAAGTAGGCAAAACAGGAGGGGGAGATATGAAGGCAGGGCTGTCATCTTAGCCATCCAAGCTGATGGGCAACATAGTCTCTCTCAGGACTTTGGTGACACATTTATAAACACAGAAAATGGTGGAAAGTGCAGAGAAAAGCATCCCAAAAAAAAAAACCCCAGACACATTTTCTTTTAATTACACTCTAGTCCACCTGTGAAACAACCTCCAAAGAGATGCTGGCTGGGGTTTGGCTTTGAACCTACAGCTTGGTCTCTGATCTGTTTAAGACCCTCTCTGAAGCCCCCGCTTGGGCCAGATTAAGTAGGCTATGCTTGTGCTCGACTCACGCTCTTCACTCCCAGGGCTTGCTTGGGAAACAGCCTCTCTAGTAATTCCCTCTGACGGTTCGGGAAAAGCTCTGTTTACAAAATACGACAGGAACGAGAGCAAGAGAGATGGATGAAGCAGAAAGGAGGAGGAAAAATCTAATGAAACATAGATTAGCATCTTCAAGACCCACAGGGCATTTATGGCCTACTTTTCCCATTCTTCTTTTCTTTTTGGTGAAGAAGTAAACGACGTCCCTCCCTCCCTTTCTCGCCCCCTCTCTCCTCCGTTTTATCTCTACAGTTGGTGGGCTCTTCGATCTCCAAAAGCTGGGATGTGGAGGGGAGGATTAGAGTTTGAAGTGTTTACCTCCTCACATGCATCAATGTTCCAGGACCTTGTGGCTAAAATGTTTTTCGAACAGCGATTTTGCATAAAAACTTCCATTAAAGGGCCTTGTCGAGCTTTTATGACATAATGTAGGTGTCTAATTATGAAATAGGATTAAAATCTTGTGTGTTTATAGTTGTAAAAAAAGAAAAATGGATGTTTATTTTCTTGTACTTCACAATTATACTCTTCCTTTGTTGTGTCATCACACCAAATACCAATAAAACACAACAAAATAAAGATTTTTGTGGTTGTAACATAAAAAAAAAACATATGAAAAACATGTGAATAGTTCGCAAAAATATGCCAACCAGAGTGAGCAATGACGGATGTGTTGATGGTTTGCATGTTGTATTTAAAAATTCATTTTGGCCAGCTATTGTATTACGTGACGTACCTGTGCACTCTTTCAGAGGGGAGCTTGCACTCATGTGGAGGTTGTCTATCCAGATGTGTCCTCTGGTGCTGTGATGAAAGAAACCCTCTATCACAACCTGGCAGCCAGAAAAGAGACGGAGAAGCGGAAGAATGGATGTGACAGAGGACAAGATGAGGGAAAGGCGGAGCAGGGGGCGGAGGCAAATTGAGAACAGGGACAAACAGGAGGAGGGAGAATAAAAAGTTAATATGAACCTGGTTGCACTCAGCACTTGCAATGATGGTTTAGTTTACTTCCAGCTAATTATGCTAACTTTTTTATGAGAACATCAACTTCTTGTGATGGCTCTGACAAATGCATGAGAACAAACAACCAAGCGCCTGGCAGAGACAAATACTTTCTCTGTGTACTTTCTAAAGTTAAACCTAACTCCAAAAGAATAAATCTGACTGACTGTGTTTTTTTTTCTATGAATGCAGCCATTTTCTACCTGGAATTGTTTTGGGGAGCGTGGCACGATGGTCCGGCCTTCTTTCCAGACTGTGGTGTGATTGTCGCGGAGCGACCACAGGAGAACCTCGTCATTGAGGTCGTCCCGCAGAAACACATTCAGGTTGCCCTGGGAATCCCCCCACATCTGGTAGGAGAAAAGGAGGCAGAGGGGTCCGGCGTCGGCGGGCACCACCGGGCTCACGAGGCGAGCGCGCTGCTCCAGGTTCTTCAGGCTCACGTCCAGGTACAGGTAATTGTTCAACGCTGGAATGGTAGAAAATTAAGATTTACAGCAAATGTATTCACACTCCTTAAATGAGAGCTGGGTGACAAACAAATTTTATTGATTGTTTGAATCTTTGGCAAGTAAAGATTTAATTTTGGGATTTTTTTCCAATGCATTCTACAACAAAATATAAGGGTCAGACTAAGTTACAGGTTTTATTTCCTTTTTACAAGACGAACCAATAAAATTCAAATGATATGAGAATACAGTTTTAATATACCAGAACAAAATTGTAATTTTAGGAGAATGAATTAACCAAAAAAGGCAAATTAATTATTCAAGCTTTTTTTTCCTCATTAAAAGACGTTTTTTCCATAATTGTATCTCTTTTGAGCTACATTCTTATAATGAATCCATTGTGCAGCTCACAGAAGTTAAAACCACTGAAATAAAAACATCTCTTTCTGGCAAGAAACAAGAAATAATTATAATTGGATCTGGTATAAAAATCTTACTTTTAAACCTTATTGCCCAGTCCGGTTTGTTTACTTTTACAAGAAGCTGTGTTTTAGTATTTTAACTCTAATCCGATTGGCTGTAAAATTGATGGCAGCATTGTGTGAGGCTGGAGGATGTGTTCATTTCACAACCTGACCCTTGAGCAAAAAAAAATGGAGCTAATCACTGATTGCTAACAGGAATAGGATCCCTGCTGCACAATGGTCGCACAGAACAATAGGGAAATGACAAATATAAACACACCGAAGAATAGGTCCTAACAAGAGGGCCATTCATATGTGAGGTATCATGGCCAATTCCTCTTCATTCCCCTCTCAGGTAACTCCTTTAGCGACTAAAAACAAAAAAAAGTCTCGACAAAAAGCACTGCACTCCATTTGTTTACACCAGAGGATGTTTAGTTTGCAAATTCGACGCCGGCACGAACTGCATTGTGAAAGACAAGTGAGCCGACTGTATGAGAAAAAGATTGAATGCGAATGTGAGTGTGAGAAAGAGCGACTCTGTGAAGAATTTCCTAAGTGGGCCCGGTGGGAAAATGTCCAGCATCAACAATCTGCACATTAAATCACCTGCGTCGTCACAAACAACTGTGTATATGCTGCAGGAGTCCTTCAGGGCCAGAAAAAGAATCACAAGCATAACAGCAGATTATAGGATCTGTCTGAATGTGTTAGTTTCCACTGCTTGCTGCACAGCAGAGACTAATAGCCTGTATTATTCAGCAGCGCAGCCAAGCTCAGGTTGGAGAGTGACTCCACTGATTTGGACTGGACCTTTTCCTGAGTGGCTGTGTGGGTTTTACGTCGGATCAAACAAGCTGTATCTGGGGGGAACAAATCTGTCTCGAATCTGACAGGCCCGCCCCCCCTCTGCCCTCCATACGGTCAGAGTGGCCTGTCTGTGACACTTTCCACACTGTGACTGTGACAGTATCTCCCATGGCCCATCTTGACTCAGGAATGATTGTGTGTGAGTGCAGTCTTTGCTGAATTTGAAGAATATTTAGTGCTCTACAAAGGATTTGAAACAATTCCCCTTGACCCCTTCAGATTGTTGTAACTCCTTCTAGCATTACAGGATTATTAATCTTATTAATTTTGTACAAAAATTTACTTTTTTTTTTCCTTTACATTTTTGTTGACAGTGAACTGATAGGTAGTTCAAATTTTTTTATTTTAAAAAATAAAACCTATAAACTTTAGCATGCATTTATATTTAATCCACTTTACTCTGAAACCCTTGCATATAATCCAGCGTAAACAGGCGACTTTAGTCCGAAAATTTGCTGGATTTCACTTGTTTAACCAACTTTTGCAGTGCTGTCACAGTGACCCACTGCTATCCCGCTGCTTTCCCAGACCTGGTGGAAAGTGGCGTGCTAATCAGACCTACAAACCACAGACCATCAATAATCTATTTCACTGGTTTTCTGCTGCCACAGGAGGCAAACAGTGAGTGAATTTGTGGAGCTTAGTTGTCACATTTTAATCAGGAAAGCATCTAAAGCCAAAAATAATCTCATAAATCCATGGTGGCTAATTCTGGCTTTATTACTGGTTTCACATCTGAGGTCAAGAGGTGACAAGTTTGTGGCTTCTGGGCCACAAGGGAAAATCGAGCCCTGCAGAGGATTAAACAGTGATTTGATAGTGGTGAAATAATGATCCTGTTCTGGCTGAGATTTCTGACCTTTGACATTCGGAGGAAAATCAAAGGCGTGTATGGTGTGTCAGAATGGCTGGAAATGATACTTCAAACATAAAAAGCGCAACCTGGCTTAATCTATGCAACCCTCCGTGATGGGGCTGTGATGAAAGAAGCCGCTTTGAAGCCCTCCGTTGAAGCCAAACAGATCACGCTTCAGGAGCGGCGGGATTAGCGTAGGATTGTTACCGGTATCAACGTATATCAGGTTTTTAAAAGGTTAATATTTCAAAAGTGTACCATACGGCAGCTTAACGTCCTTTCAGCAAGATGCAAAAGGTTTTAGCAAGTTAAGTTAAAGAATTTTAGGAGCTTGTAAAGGCTAGGACTTTTAAAAAATATAAAGATAGTTAATACTACCTGCATAACTCCAGGTAGCACTGATAACATATTTGCCATTTATGCACCTGCCTTACATTCCTTCAAACATGGTACAAATTATACAGTCAAAATATATAATAGCTGCTGAAAAGGCTGTTTTTCCAGCAAGCCAAGGCTCTGTAAATACTGAATACCTGTTTTCCATCACACAGAAAATGGTCATCAAAACCCAACAATAATAATTTGGTTTGACAGCAAATTTTGGGAAGAGAATCCTTTCAGGGATTTTGCAGGAATGTTCAAAGGATAATTTTAATTAGATTATTTCCTGTTTAGATTGAGTGATTTGCTAGTGACACACAAGTTATATTTGTGTCACCATCTGGTGCTGCACACTGCTGGTAAGCTAGCTGGAAGAAATATGTCTGATTGTTTCTAACTGTAAAACTGAAAGAGCAGCTCCAATCAGTATTATTTTTTTTAAAGCTACATTTTGCCAGTGATGAGATGTCTGTGAAGGCTGGATGCCATATTCTTCCTGATAGTCTGATCTATTAAGTAGCATTAACTAACATCACCTTGTCATATTTACATGTCTCTAAAAAAGAATAGCGGCTGTGGGAATCTCCTGGATGCTTCACAGGAGATTCTATAAATATTAATTTGAAAATTGAGCATACAAGGTCAAAATAGTTATTCAGCTGAGGTGAGGTGCTTCAGAAGGTAAAAAAAAAAAAAAATATATATATACAGTGCTTTATTCTTCCTGATCCCAGAGAGAATCCTCTTCTGTAGCTTTGAGTATCATGCTAAAAGCCAGACATTTGATGACTGCTTCTGCATAAGGAAGAACGCCACTTCTGCAGGGAATGACTAAATAGTGTCATGAAAGGTGGGGCTCACGTAACAGTTGGAAATGATTGCTCTTCTTTGGACTTTAATTACAGCTGCTGGGTCCTAACCTCTTCCTGCGGAGCTTTTTGACACCGTAAGCCTGTTTGTCACATAGGAGGATGTATGTACATGCCTGACACATCCGCGGCGTCTGTTTCCCTCCGATTCCCCCGCTTCATTTTCATTTCAACACCCTTGGCGAGCAGCACGGCTGGCAGACAATGCTGCCACTAAATTAGACTGGTTTCAATTTAAGAAAATTATTTTAATCAAATTGAAAAAGTGACTCAATGAAGACGCAGTGGGAGAATGACTCCATTTAATTGTGGAAAGCAGCATCTTGTCTGGACCCGCCGAAGTTGATAAACTTAATGCGTTTGTGCTTGTGCCATTTTCTCCACAGAAATAAAATCCTCCCTGCAGCTGCATGCATAAAGGCTCTGAGCTGATGTAGAAAATCATCAAACACTGAAATGCATTTTAGGGATGCCATGTTTTCGAAATTCATTCAGCCCTCGAGTCTCTGCAGGCGAAATCTGAGTCATTTAGCCAACCAGTCAGAGAGTCCAGAGGGGGTGAATTACAAGATGGAACATAAAACAGTGGGTGTTATGCTTTTTTTCATTTTTTATTTTTATTAACTATGCATTCAGTTAGATAGCCTAATAAATATGGAGGGTGAAATAACACTAACTGTAGCCATTTACACTATAACTGGAAATTAGATAAGAAAAAACGTCTTCGGGTTGTCATTATCAGTATGACACATTATTATCATAATGACAGTTTTAATTGTCGTAAGGCTTCAAAGATAACATAAATATGTGCTATAAACACATGTAAGTAAGAGTTTATTTTGTGGATGTGAAACTTAATAAGTTAAAGGAGCTTTTGAGATTCTAAATCGTACATTTTAAAAGAACAACTTGAAACGCTGAACTTTAGGAAAGTCAGGAGCAGATTAGTTTTGGTCGATGTGCCATTTGAGACGTTTTAATGCAAATTGCATATATATATGTAGACATGTTAAGGTAACTGTTTAATTCTTTCTAATTACACGGTGGCAATGTTATAATCTCACGCCTGCACTTACAAGTTGCTCTCTTCATTTTTCTCACCATCCAGCTGGATGGTATTATTTCAAAATAGCCAAATAAATGAGCATTTAGAGTTAATCTGAAAAAATGTATTTCAGGAAGTCTAAGCGCATTAAATGTTGTCAAAAACAGATAATGTGTTAAACGAAAGATTAGATCTGCCACTGGAACATTTTTGTTTTCCACGCTTTTCCACATGAAGTATTATCAGACTCATTCATTGACAAAATTGCATCCTTTTGTTAACGTGGGGGGCGTCACTCACATTGTTTACGCCTCGACCAGAGCAGTGAGGCGCCAGGGTCCTGTGTCCATCCGCACAGGTCGTGGTCAAAGTCGCACATGCCAAGAGATGAAGGAGGGGTGGCTGCTGTTAAAACAGTGAGAAGAGAAGGAAAAAAAAATGTAAGAACAGAGTAGGTTGGATGTGAAATGACCTTTATTACTGTTGAATCAAGCCTCCTTAAACGACGAATGATCCAAGGTGAGATACTTTTTACCTGTAGTCATGTTGGGGACTGTGGTGGCTTCTGGGGTGGGAGTCGTAGTTGTAGTTGTGGTCGTGGTTGGAGTGCTGATTTCTGCAGAAAAAAACACAAATAATAACTTAGTTAGGTGCAGAAATGATCAAAAAATTTTTCTAATCTGATAAGTCAACTACTAAAAGCAATGCAACGCAATAATACCATTGCTATGAGCTTGCATGGTGACACAAAGACCAATTTATTGCATGAACTCTTCAAAATGGTAAAGATAAGAGAACATACAGATGAACTTTGAGGCAGTCACCAAAACGTGCCCATGTTTACAATCAGAGCAGTAACTAAACAGTTTAAAACACTGTTTAAGTTTAAAATAAATATCTGCTTTAAAGCAGCTCTAAACCGTAATTTTAGCAAATACTTTAAACTGCTCCTGCTTTTGTCTCCTGCCAGATGCAAAAAAGGACAGAAAGCCTCTCAAACACCCAAGAGGGCCTCTGTCATGTTTTGTCTACGGGCTTAGATGTCGGTATCTGTCTAAGACGCATACTGGCCAAAAAACGCGCACACACACACCCACACACCCCACACACACACCCACACACACACCCACACACACACACATGTCTGACGCTAAAGCTGATGGATGGATGTGTCTAACTAACTCCCCTCGACCTTGGATGGGATGATCACACTCTGAGACCAATCTCTGGCTGTCAGCATGGCTCCAGCACACACATATATAAACAGATGCTCAAACCACCACTCTGTTGTCTTCAGATGTGCGTATGCGTGTGTGCATGTGTGTTTTATTTTCATAACTTCCATGCATTTGGACAAAAATGGAGAAATGTAAAACTCCTGTCACGCCGTTTCCTGCCTTGCCACGTATGCTGGCATATTGAGAAACATGTGGGTCAAGCAAATGAAGACCCACATCATGTCCTGTCATGGTTTTGAAGTGCGATGCTTCTTTTAAAGATTTTCATGCATTAGACGCGTATATAACAGTAAAAATATGTAATATGGAGACCACATCTCTTGATGCCTCATGCTCACCCATGTGTTGCTTTCTATTTGTTTGTGTTATGAATAGTGAGTGAATATTGGAATCAAAGGTGTTTTGCTGCTTGTTCTTTAAATTGTTGTGGAATGATTTTGGTTCATTCTTTTCTTTTTGCAGAATTGTATTTCATTTTCTCCCCTAACAGTGTCTTTTAGTTGAATCATGAAGGAAACTGAGTTTTGCAGTGATGAAATGTTCTTTGATGACCTCCTAGATGATTCATTAATGCACTTTTGAAGTAATCATAATTGGTTGGCAGAAGAAATTGTTTTTCACTGCATTTTACCTTGTGTTAAAGACGCTTTGAAGCATTGTCAGATAGTCAGATTTTCCAATGGCATCAAGTAAAAAAAAAAAAAAAGAAAGATTTTTAGCCGTCAAGTCATAAAAAAGGCACAGTTTGCGCATTAAGAAAAACAGATATGTACGCAAACGCACATGTGGAGCAGGCTGCAGCTGGAATGTGAAGTGGGAGTGTTATTAGGAGCAGATGGGTCAACCTTGGTGCTAAACAGAAGTTTGGGTCAGGTCTCAAACAAAGCTTCACATTTATCATGTGAGCAAATTGCATAAGAGCTTTTCTCCTCCAATATCTGCAGAACAAAACGATTACAGATATATTCACAATGTTTTTAAGCATCGCTTTGGCAAAAGCAGAAACATCTTTTGACTATACAAAGCGGATTATCCAGCATATCACATTTCATACTCCTTTGTCAGCTTTCCCGGCTTTGTCTCACTTAAGACGACCCAAACAACTCCGAGGTCTGGACGCCCAATGAGCTCATGTGAGACGCTTTCATCGGGAAAACCGGCGCACAGAACATCGTGAGGGGAAGCGAGGTCGTGAAAATTTACAGCTCCGAATGCCTGTTAGTGCCGCTACTCCAGAGTCCTGCTGGGAATTTTTCATCTCTCCTTGTGACTACCGTTTAAAGGCTGCGGAAAGCAAACACAATGTGATAGACAACTGATCGGCTTGGAAAATGAGTGGAACGCCGCCCCAGCTGGAGAAATGGCACACATGAAAGGAGTTAGCCACAGCTGGCGACGGCTTCTGACATTAACCCAGCGTTAATGTCATGTCCTTTATGCCAGTCATTTTCCACCTAATGAGATGCTTATCACTGCCGGGAAGGTAAAGGCAAGGAAAAGCAGCACCTCTTCCCAAAAAGCATCTCTCCGTTGCCTTTCTGCCTTTTTATTCCACTTTGACCTTTGAGTTCGATCTCAGGACAAGGTGTTAAAATAAACCACCTATGTTACCTGTGTGCACAGCTGAATGCAAACACACACACACACACACATGGACTTTTGGTCGAGTCCATTAAGATTCCCAAGAACTTGGTGCTTTCAAAGGTCAGGCCCTGTCACGGTGTAAATGGGCTGACCTTTCCAGGCTGTGACAGGAGCGGCGAGGCCAACGCGACTGACTTGTGCATTCGTGCGCACCTAGAAAGACCGAATGTGTGATAACGTATGCGACCTGCCTCCCTTGCCTCGAGCACTGTGCTCAATGTGTCCAAGTGCGGCACGGTGGAGAGGCCTAATAATGCGGGAAAAGTCCCTCTGCGGCAGAGCGCCGGATGACATAACGTGTCTGCAGCTGCAGGTGGTGATGCAAGTCATCATCATGCTGCAGGACGAGGCTCCGAACTCTTGGGAGCAGCTGACACATATAGCGCAAAGTCATGCAAGCAAGCGTGCTGAGATTTCTCTCCGTTTTTACACCTGAACCTTTTCTTTCTCACTCACTCATAGGGAGGTGGCGCGGTCCAGCAATGATAGACATAGCTCACTCCCAAAGAATCTGACTCAGCAATATGTCAGAGACAGGAGGAAGGGGGGGGGAAGAAAAAAAATTCCCAATTATGTAGAAAGCTTTTCTGTAAATCTCTCCCTGGCACTCCCAGGCGCAGTCACACGCTGATAAATGGACACACATTCCTGTCCCAGAGGAACGAAATGGGAAAAAGAAGTAGGGGTGAGCCTTAGTGGTTTATCCCCGCACGTTTTAGTACAGTTCATTCTTGTGTTTCTGTCACTTCAGAAGCACATCCTACTACTAAACCACTTATTCTCAGAAGGTTAAGTCCCTCGTTTTGAGAAAAAAAAAAGTTCTCAAAAAGAATTTACTGGCAGGAAGTAAAAAGGGTCAGGTTAATTTTTAGTAAGTGAATATAGAATCAAAATTCTCTCACATGAACATGTCTATTTGATGGAAACAAGGAATGATGGACCCTCAAACCTCAGAGAAAGCAGAAAATCAGTTTTGCCAATGAATAATTTGGATCGATTCATGTCGACAACAAACCTCTCATTCCTTGCTTCTTATTGGTCAGCAGGTCAAAATGGAGCATATTGAGCACATCTTCCGCCTTGCATGATATCTAGTCACCATGAAAATCCCGATTTGCTGATTATGTTGTGTGAAACCACTTGGAAGTCAAGAAATCCAAATTGTTTCCTGCTTGCATTTTTTTTCTCCAAATAGTTTCACCAAATTGACATAAAGCCATATTTTCCTATTTTCTTAAAAGCTTTCGGGTTTCCTTGTGTGTCTTTAAGTCTTTCTTCTTCTGATGTCAAAGAGGCAGACCTGAAGCTTGTGCTTTTAGTTTTATTGCTTTTTCTGAAATGTTTTGGGCCTCCTCACATAAACGCTAATTAAAGGAAACATTCCAAGCTCCTTGCTGTATTTACTGGGATTTTAACAACAAACAGAAGCACGAATCGAGGTACCGGAGGTTTTAATTATAGGTGTGCACATGAACGTGTGAGGTCTCCTCCTCTGGATAAAGCACCGAGATTATCAACCTACATTCTTTACAGATCCGCAAGGATTCCATTCCTGACGGTATAAATATTTAATTTAAGGAGTATGCAAACAAACAACGACAAAAAAAAAAAAAGCTACTGGTATAGCAGAAGCACTGCGTATGATGCAGCAGTGCGGAAATATGGAAAAAAAAAAAAAAAGATGAGCAACAGGAGAGTGAGGGGAAGGAGAGGGAAACAGGCGAGGCATGGTAACCAGAAGAGAACAAAAACATTTACAGACCCACGCACCGGGCCCCGGGCTGGGAAAGGAAAGAACTGAAACCATGTGCAGAGACGCAGGAGAGGCAGCTCATCCTGCCTGACTGATGGTAGCTGCTGATATGCTAAAACATGCATGAAGGGGGAAATATGTTTGTCTCATCAGCCTGAATCACATCAATAAGTAGAGTGAAGACATCACTGAGCGGCCTGAGCGGAATGATTCACAGGACGTCAGCAGCGGCCCGATATCCCAGCTGAGTTGGTGGTGGTGTGTGAACAATGTGCGACTGTAAGCCACATTTTGCCAGCGCCTTCATCGTGAATTTAAACCTTTGTGTCAAAGTGCTCATTTCATTTTGCTTCCATCTTTCTGGATCTTGTTTGTTGACTTAATGCGCTCAGGCCCGGTCGTTTTCTTCACTCGTCAGTCAGCAGTTAATGTAAAACATATTGCTTCCTGTGTTTCGTAAGACTTCAGGAGGTCGAGGGAGGTACAGTGCCTTACAGGATTCATCATGGTCACAACCATAAACCTTAATGTAGTGTAACAGGATTTTATGAGATAAACCAACTCAAAATAGCCATAATTGTAAATTAGAGAAAGTATCAGACATGGATGGGACCCTGGAAAACACGGAGAACATCTGAGAAAATCCTGGAATCACGTATCAAATTATGTCTTTAGCAGTTCGACCAATCAGCATGCTTGAAATATTGTTTTATGGTTGCTGTCCGATCAGTGACGACCCGTTAACATCCTTACAGTTTGCTTACAAAAGTTTGGGGTTTTTACAGTTTACATCGTCTGCTTTCGATTTTTTCCATTGAATAGCCTTAAAATAGATTGATAATGTCAAACTGTGCAGTTTTTCACAGAAGTTGCTGCCATGCTGGCCATGGATATGCAGAGTTCAGGACAACAAACCTTATTAATTTCCCCAAAACAAACTGTAAAGTTTCATTTTGACCACATCTAACCAGAGCACATACTTTCACACGTCTGCTGCAGCCGTCACGTAAAATACAGATGAAACACATAGAAGGTTGTGATAATGTGTGAAAAAAATTCAAGCCACAGCAGAATTAGCGCAGAAGTTTTTGGAGAAAACTAATCCCACATCCTTGCGTGGTGATAAATCTTCACTGCCCAAACAGATAAAGGAAATGAAAAGCTACAAACAGACCGAATGATGAAAAGCATCTTCAATTCCAATCAACACATATGGACCCGGTTCTTGTTCGGCGGGTTGTTTGGTAAATATGTGTCCAGCCCTTTGCGTGTCGAGCTACACGGCCGCCCTGTTCAGGCGCAGCAGAGGGAGTGGTAAACAGTAACAGACCGTGTGTGTGTGTGTGTGTGTGTGTGTGTGCGTATATCAGTGAGAGTGTGTTTGTCTCTGAAGGAGCACAAAGATCACATCTGGCCAACAGACCGTGCTGGAAAGTGAACAAACCGGCGCTCTCACTTGCTGGAGATGCATTCCTGTAAACTAAACCTTGTACAGATCCCTGCTAAGTATTGGGCTTGGAGAGCAAGTCAACTCTCCTTCAGGTGAAACGATAAAAATAAAAAAAATAAATAAAAAAGAATCTGAATAGTGCCTCTCCTCACCTCAGGCAGCCTCTAATGACTCTCATGCATATCTAATGTGAGCCACCTTCCTCCAGGTCCATGCGGTCCTGCCTGGATCATTTCAATTCAGCAAATAATTCGCGACTGAATCCTGCAGGCAGGAAATGATGGGGGGATAAAAGCAGAAAGACATCCTACCTGGAAGGTCGCATCCAATGATCTCCACTCGCATCCCAATCCCTCCTGGGGACCACCGCTCTGGATACAGCCTGATGTACTGCGCCACCGTCTCCTCAAAATGACGCAGCTCCGGAGTGTCGTATTGCGTGTTGCCCTCAAATAACTGCACAAAATATTATCACTGAGCAAATGGGCACCTCAGAGGAGGATCTTTCATTAGCTTCACCCACCCTAGGTTGGCTGGTCTTTACATCCATGATGAAGTTCCAGTCTTTTCCATTCAGGCTGTGTGCGACTTTGTATTTCCTGACAAACGCGCGGTTGTCTGTGGCAGGTCCACTTCCTGGGTCTCCTCCCCGCGCTCCCTGGGTAATGACTCCCCGGACGGTCTTGGGAACACCAAGGTCCACCTGGAATGAGATTTAGACAACATTCATAGAAAACAGCCCAGGCTTAGGATACTTGGAGTTTCGGGTTACTTGTGTAAGGACTGTAGAGCAGCTTTACCCCTCATGTGGACAAAATAAATTGTGGCAAATGTATAATCAAGGGTTGTGAATATCTTTGCAAGGTATTTTTAAAAGTCCATCAGACCAAATGCACAGTAATTAGGACATAATCTCATACCTGGAGCCACTCCTCTCCAGCCAGAGACTGCGTAGGCGCAGGGAACCAACCCGAACGACTTGCCACAAGCCGAGCCGTGCTGGGATTCCACATCACGTCTCTGCTGGACGACACCGAGATCTGGGCATCAGGGAGCAGGCCGGACATCAAGCCCTGCAGGTCCGAGCACGGAGCGCCTGGAGGAAGAAGTGGAAGGAGGCAAGAGAGGAGTTAAAGCGTTGTTACGCATATTCCCACCAGGGAGCGGTTAAAGATTGCACTCCTGGCAGCTGAGCTTTAGGATTTCAGATCGGAGGAAATAGGAGAAGCAGCGATTCTGGCTGGACTCTAAGCGTGCAGTTGGACTCCCATTAGCGAGATAAAGGCTCATATTAACTCCACCGCTGCTTTGCATTCATGCAATTCACGTCTCACACTGATATTTAAGCATCTTTTAATGTCATTCACTGCACTGTTTTTGTCACTATACAGGAAATGAGACTGAGCTCTGCAAGTCACTGGCACGGGGAATATATGTGAGGAGGAAATGAAGGATTAGGAAAAGGTAAAGGCATAATACACAAAAATAGGAGGAAGAGTTGGGGGGGAAAAGCACAAGTGACTAGCAGAAAATGTCGAGATGAGACATCTGCAGAGAAAAACAGGAGGAACGCGGCGGCGCCGGATCGGCATGGAGAGCTTGAAGAAGAGGAACAAAGACACAGAGAGAAAGAGGGAACTGGTGGGAGGATGGGAGCATGGGGGAGATGTTAGTTGTGCTGACGGTTTAAGGGAACACAAATCAAACTTTCATGCTGTTATGTCACTGCAAACGCAAAGCCGCGTCAATAATAAATAAATGGCCCAGGACGAGCAGATATACGTGTGCACGTTCCTGAACGGCGCACCTTCCTTTGAGGTCACCGCCCTATATTTAGAAGCCGCCTGTGTGCGGCAGGTTGCACCGATGCTGTAGGAGCTAATAGCTGTTTCAATAGCAGCTGTTGAGGCTGAACTGAATCACGGTTTCTGATGTAAGAGTGAACAGGGAGCCATGAATGATTGAGCAGCACTCGTTTCCCGATCCGGAGGAGCTCACAGAGCGAAAAGGAAGCTTCAAAAAGAGTTTGGAAACCATGGGAGATTTTTCTTAAAGAGGGAGGGCAGGCTGGAGACAGAAAGCGAGCATGGAGAAGAAGTGGAGGGGCATCAGAAGATTAAAGCGACACATGGTGGTACCTCCAGACGGAACAACAGAGTACGCTTTCTTTCATTAGCCTAAGGCTCGGTATACTCAGAAGACAGCGCTGGGAATATGCATGAGTCTAAATGTACACGTTAGATCCTATTTCTTTTTTTACTCTTTTTGAATAAACTTTGCATGATGTACCAGACAGTTGTTCTTACTGGAAAAGCATTAAGCAGTGGCAGGCAGAAAAAGGTCTGAATATCAGGTTTTTGCACAAAATTATGAAAATAGGGCTATTATTACTATTACCACTGCTACCATTAAAAATGATCACTATCATATACAGTTTGCAACGCTTCATCATGTAATGCCATTTAGTCTAATGAAGGAAGATCTGTCAGGTGGTTGACCTGTGATCTGGCATCCATGGAGCTCAAATCTCAGCGCGATTCCATTCTTCCAAGCTTGAGGCCGGATCCGGACGAAGCGAGCCAAAACCGGCTGTGGGATGCGGTTCAGGACCACTTCGGTCGGGTCTGTGTTGGCGTGGAAGATCTGTGGAAGAAAAGCAAGGACAAAACATGCTGTCAAGAGGGGAGACGGCAGACACACACACGCACATCTCTTGCTTCGACACCCTCCCGCTGTGCGCAGTTTCGCTCGGCTTCACACGCACAGTGGCAGGCCGGACAAAGCGGAGACAACCCAAACACGGATCCGGTGTCAGCATCCCAGCTGTCGATGTGTTCCCAGGTCAGGGGTTCAGTGCCGGGAGGCTGGGAAAGCCCACTCACTATATATATTTTTTTCCCTCTCTTTTTCACCTCCATGCTTAAACGCATGCAGACGCTGCCAACTCAACACGCTGGTGGGCACAGGAAACCCACGGGAGACGTGACCTGACACGACCGAACGCAGGAAGTCTCTCCGGGTGGGCAGGATGTCAGTGAAATCCACTTCCTGAGACGTCCACCTAAAATCATCAACGCTCAGCGTTCTCTCCTTGAACACTCCCTTCCGTCCTGCAGCCAGTTCAGAGGGACCATGTAACCACAGTCACTGGGTTTCTTCCTGCTTTGGGTGGAAAAGTGACCTGGGATTGACTGTGGTGTTGGAAATCAGAATTCCCAGCTCATATTTGTGAATAACTTCCCTTTCCTCCCCCCCCACTTCCTCTTCCAAATCCTCTCCCCACTTCTTTGTCATCTCATTCATTTTTCGAACCTTTTCCTCCCAGACTGCACAGTTGATGTCTGTTCACACCTCCTCCTTCCTCACCGTTGCCTTTTGTTGGCAGCTACTAACCGAAACCACACAGGAAAACCACAGGAACCCACACACATCCACCCTACACACTTAGATAAGCAGAGGAAGAGCCTTTTAACCGACTGAGTGACTGTTAAGTGTCATTCGCTCTCTATCTGTCGGTGGCTGACCGTGGCGGCTGTTAATATAGCATCAAAACACACTGCGCCGCAGCCTCGACGCACAATGAGAAAGAGATGAGAGAGACAACAGTTACAAGCAGCTGAATTAAAGATTAAAGGCATCATCCTTTATAAAAAAAAAAAAGCTTCCTACACGATTTTTCTTTCACTTTAATCTGAGAACAACACGATCAAACGCAAACAGTCTCCCGCAGTTTGAAAACTCAAAGTAAATGCACTATGTTAGCAAAAGTATTCTCCCATTTTCACAAATAAAGTTGAGTAATATCCGATTCTCAACTCCTGGGATGTCAGCCCACCCTATTGCAATGTTAACTTTTTTTTTTTTAAAGAAAAATCTTTACCAAAGGCATATTTATGAGCATTCTTCCAGACGTTCAAATCCAAGGTCAGACACTGACGTTGGATGATAATTCATGGCCCCTTATTCATAGCTTATAGGTATTCTAGGAGGTTGAAGTCGGACTGATCAAGTTATTCACCTTTATGTTGGAACAGGACGGTGCATCCAGAAAACTAGTTTTCACAAATATCAGGGATCTTTTGAGGGTTTTCATAAATATTAGATTTTATACATCTGGGGCCATAAAAGTGATTGAAACACCCAAATTCAATATTTTGGATGGGTGAACAAATATGTTTAAATATATTTTTTTTCTTGTGTAAACGGAGCTTTCTTATAATTTCTACTGAAAAAAATTCACTGCAGGACAAGTGACCCATAGTGATGAGAGTATATTTAATCTTGAACATTTTATCACATTAACACAGCAAACGTAAACAACTGCTGACCAGCTTTACAAACATTATGGTCCTTTTAGCAGCATAAATGAGAATATAATATTTCACCTAAAATCCTTATGAAGTATAATAAAGATTTTGGTCGTATCATGACTAAAGATTTGAGCAAAATTCCCTCACTTTCGAAACAAAACCTATGTCAGAAATTTTATACTAACAAACTGTCTGAATGTTGCCCCTTCAAAATCCTACTCAAAGGGGTTTTATTTGATTTTGGGCATGGCCTGATTTAATCAAGTGCAGCTGACACTGGTAATACAAAGCAGTGTGAGTGTTTGAACAGATAACAGGGCTATCGCCGCTGAATCTGCTGCTGGATGGAGGGATAGGCAGCTGCTGTGTTTACCTAAGAGGCACAAGAGCCGATGCGGGCTCTTATGGGGGGTTATGTAAACTCCTACGCACGCTCACAAAGAGACAGGAGTGTGACGAAAGATCAGCTGTCCACCGTCTCTCCCACTCTCGGATAACCCGAAACAAAGGCAGACAGGATGAGAAAACAGAGGTTCGAATGCCCGCAGAAGAAAAGTCGAAACCAGATGAAGTGGGTAGAAAAAAACCCAAAAAAGAGAGAAAAGGTTGAATGGAGGGCAGGGTGTAGAAGTTGGAAGGAGATGAGTGGAGGAATGTGGGACAGGACGCAGGGAGCAGTGCTGACGAGCAACAACAAACAGATTCATCACTGAAACAGGAAATGTCCTTTTCAAGTATTTATCTCATGATAAGGAGCTACAACCCAAATTCGGAGGAATTTCCTCAATTCTGAAGTGATTTACTGGAAAACCAGCTAAAATCAAGTACCGGAGAGCCAAATCAGATGATTGGAATCATGATAGTTAAAAACAGGCATAGCCTCTCCAATAAGCCTGTTCTTTACAGTGCAGCTGGCTGCTTTATCCTTTGTTTGTGTCTTTGGAATAAAGCTGGGAATGTGTCCAAAAACTCTGTTATTCACAGAGAGAACAGGTTGTTCCATAAAAACCCGCTCGAAAAAGGCTCATCTTTTTTTCCAAATGTAAACTAGAGTCACATTTCTTTTACTTCTCTTTTTTGGTATTTTGTAACGCTTTAAATCAAGCACACTTAATAAGACGACAAGGATTCCCTGCATCCTTATTGCATACATTTATCAAGTCACTTCTCACGACGGATGTGGAAGCTTTTAGGGTCAGAGGTCACAACTGACAACTGTGTGGGGCGTCTGCAGAGAGGAGTGGGAGAAAATTCTTCTACATAATCTCCAAATCTCCTGTGTCCAATCCACTTCCTGCCCTCCATTGTCGAGACACCTGAGAGGTCGCTCGTTGGACTCTGCTTTAAGGTTAAAGGTTAATGGCGCGAGGAAGCAGATGGTTGCTCATTGACCAGCCCCGTTGATAGGCAGGGTTACTTTTTGACTGAGTAGGAATGAAATGCCGCTGGTGGTAAAACAGGAGTAGGTGCAGCATCATCCATCTGTTTGTGTGTGTAGTGGTGAGGAGGAGGGGAGGCGGGACGGTAATCTGCCAGACAACAACGCCGCGTCTCCAGGTTCTCCGCCCCTCACGTGACCTGCCACCGAGGTGGGCTGAATAATTGATGTTGTCGTGTTGCGTCTCATTGCGTAGGGGGTCATGAAATTATAACGAAGAACCTCTCCCCCCCCCCCCCCCCATTACACACACAGCGGTGGCGATAGCAGTAAGTGGGGGGTCAGACTTGTTTGTGCATCAGGAGTGTTTAAGTATTGATGACCCCTTCTGAGAAGGAGGTCACTAAGAAAGGAGTGTCCATTTCCCAGAATCAACCTTCTAGTGCAGAAGAAAGCAGATGTTTTACTTTTTAAAATAAGGGGTAGTTGGATTGCGTCTTGATTTAGTCATTTCGTTTTCTGCACATCATTGTGTTTTCCTTCAAGCTGACAACACCAGTGGGAGATATGAAAAGCTCAGCACAAGACATTAGTCTTTCAATGTTTTTTTGTTTTTTTTCTACTCCTACAGTATTTTATTCCCATGATTTCACATCCTGTCTTTCTGATTCTCCTCTCGGTTCTTCATAAAGATGTCGACTACATCAAACCAGTTCTGGCTGAAACTGGATTCTATGTGATAGAGCAACAAAAAGTTGAGGAAGTTCTAGGAAAGTTTAGTCAAAACAGATCTACAAAGAGGGGCATGCATTTAATTTTGATCAGAAACATTCCAGCATAGCTCTGGCTGTTTGGTTAGGATTTGATCAATCTCGAGTCTTTTCTAGCGTCCCCACAGCATGATCCCACTGCTGCCATGTTTGCCATGACGTGTTCAGGTCTTCTAAACCGCCTATCATTTTGCATGTAGGCCGAAAACTGAGAGGACTTGCATTTTGAGTGTGCATGAAGGTTTGACATCCATCTTTTTGGTCAAGCCTTGCTGCAGATGTTACCAACTGTCACTAACTCCACCTGCGTGCCAATGCAAATTTGATTATGATTGTTGTATTATGCATGAGCATGCAAACAAAGCCTGTGTGTTTGTTTGGTTCTGTGGGTTTGCAGCACACCAGGATTGGATGAGCAGGCTGAAATGCTGTGTGGGCTGTTTTCCCCCCCCCGTATTCTCCCCCCCATCCCCTTGCTCAGGGTTACTTGATGTGTGTGACAAATTTAGCACAACCTCACGACACTTTTCAGCAACACAAAGCTTGTTTAGCACCAGAGGCTGCTGGGACCTTCCCTCACAGACGCTGACAGATGACAGTGTGTGTTTTTCATGTTAATTAGTGCGGGCATGCTCGTGTGTCTGTGTCGGAACGCGAGGAAGAGAGAGAGAGAGATGGAAAAAAAACCCAAAGATGACTGCACGCTCGTGCCTTACTGTACGCGCGAGTTGGTGAGAAATGCAACTCCCGAGCGAGTTAGCATCTCATCAAGTAATGAGGTGCATATGTGAGCCGCGCGACTTTGATTTAACGAGTCACATGCACGTTAAACTGAGATTGGGTTGGCATGCAGAAAATTGGTGAAAAGGAACGACAAAAAAACACAAAAGCTTTTTGTGGGTGTGACTCTAGAGGCGGTATCCTTGTTCTCTTACTGTAGTTTTCATAACTTCCTGTGCTGATAATAAAAAGGCTCCCTTTTCCCTGACAAACACAGGAGAGTGAAGATTGAAAAGCCTTTCCTATTATTAATAGTAATCTCTTATGTGATGTGCAGATATGGCGCACGTGCAATTCATAAGCCGCTGTAACATTAAGCTCACTGGTAAATGACAATTAGAAGAACCAAATCCCAGTCATTACGAGACCCCCCGATGAGAACTGAGCTTCAACCACTTAAGGCTCTTTGGGGGGACTTAGGACTGGCTAACAGGGGGGCTTGACCAGCACGACGGGTGGATTAGTGGTCACGGAAGATTCAGCCGGGGTCCATGGGGAACGGCGAAGCCCCTGACCAACAAGGAGCAGAGAGTACGCTCCGGTTTTAATATTAAACTGTAAATCCGGGCTCCAAATTATGGCAAAAAATCCCTTTTGAGTTTGATTTGTTGAATATATCCATTTATTAAAATGTTGGTCTCTTCCAAGAAGTCTTTTTTTAAAACATGCTAAAGGAACGTTAATTAAATCAATAAATCGTTTAAACAGGAGCTGTCTGACTACCTGAAGTACAGAAAACACAAAAACATCATGCGGACATGAAGGGGCAGGACATTTACCAGAAACCACAGCAGCAAGTTCACCTCCGAAAGGGAAAAAAAAATTCAAAAAAATGAAGATGAGTGGCTTAGTCAAAGCCTGATTCTAATTAATCCTGAATGACTTTGAACAGGCCTCGCTGTTTCAGGTCCGCTGTACTCAGGCATAGATTCTGAATAAACGCTTGTGATTTGAAATCCTAATGTGACCAATACTCTCATGTTCGAGGTCCATCTTTAAACTGTCGTCATTTCTTTGTTTGAATCAAAAACAGATGGTCTGGTTCACATTTTATGGAGGTTATGCAACGAGGACAGAAGAGCAGGACTTCCTGGTTTCAACTCGGAGGAAACACAGAATTTGTTTTGATCGCCGTCGAGTCACGCCTAATTTCCCTTTTAAAAACCGCACTTTAAAAATTTGCTAACTTCCATTGACCTCTTTGAGTCACGCCGCCCCTCTGTGGATTCAAAAAGCTGAAAACGATTTTCATAATGCCTGCAATATCCATCCCAAAAGCCTGCAAATGATGCATCTGTCTGAAGCCGTGTCTGAATGCATCTCAATATCTTTTTTTTTTCTTCCTTTTTCTCCAACAGATTAGAGGACTCACATTACCAAAACACAGACGGACCTGCAAGCACCATGTGTGTACATCTATATATATGCACTTGCACGCACATCTCCAGACAGGAAGATCAGCCAGAGGTTATTTAAATGGGAATGGGAGGGGGAGGTGTCTGTGGATTGAGTGGGCTTGTGCTTGTGGAAGGAATGGGGACATCTGGGGGCTCTAATAAATTACACAGATGTTGACTTTTAAGGCAAATCCACATTTTGCTCAATAATCTCTACATCAAATACCCCCCACTGGCACCACCCAAACCAATCACGGTCACGCACAGAAGAGGAGGGGGGCCCTGGTCCGTACGGGTTAGTCTGTGCGGATTAAATCACCCCACCTCTTCTCCCCACTCTGTTTTTCTGCTTAAAATCCACAGAGACATTAAGCTTGGAATGAGGGGAAAGAGTTGGAATCCCCCAAGAGACAGGTGGTCGCACAGCAGCCGCCACTGTATGCAGAACATCACATGCAAAACAACAACAAAAAAAAGAAATATAAGGCCCCGTCAAAGCACCAAACAACACCAACATCACATAAATTGTCCCAGTCCACACCTGGGACGACTCCAACGGTTTCACAACCCCAGGTGTCTGTTTATGCGTGAGCATTACCCTGAGAGAGAGATCACAAATCTAAAATGGAGATAAGAGCACACAGAGGATTTCATTGTTCATGTTTTACTTGTCTTTCGCTTCTTTTTCTACCTCGTGACCGGGGTCACGGTCGAGGTCTACAAGCGGTCGCGGAAGCGGAGCGACACCATCAGGAATGCTGCATCATTTGATGCGACTCCTGGATGAACACAGCTGCCTTTGTTACAGGAATGAGCCGTGGCAGCGGAATAAATGTACTGTAAATAAAGAACCTATAGCTGCGAGCAGAGTCCGGTTTCCTCCAGCGTTTTGAAGGCCAACATACCAGAATCAAATTGCTATATTGCGAACTCAGCCTGAAATCAAATGATTTTGGTGGAAAAGTTTGGGGGTAAACATCTGACAATTTAATTCAACTTGACACACAAACAAAAAAAAAATCGCTTCATCTGAATTGAAGTAACAACTGTGATACTTTGAAACCTGATTATGCTTGCAGTCCAGTAAAGTTAATTTCCTAAATTTAAAAGTGCACAGCAAAGACTAACCCTGTGGTTCTTGCCGTGTCGGTAAACCATCCAGTCCTCTCCATTGGTGCTGATCTCCAGTTTGAAGGAAGTGACGTAATAAGCCTTCTGGGTCTCTTTGGATATGGCCCCCTGTGTTGCTATCCCAGTCAACACCTTTAGGAAGTGGAGGTCAACCTGAAATAAAAAAGAAACTTTATCGGAACAATGTTCAAATTATTGGGTTGGGGACAAAAAAGCAAAACCGCAGAAATGAGACTGGCACCGTTAAGCTGGATGCCACGCTATGATTCTAAGCGGAAGATGCAGATAAGCAAACCCAAAGACGATTCTAAGGTGCAAAAGCATAAACAAAACATAATTTCCTTTTTTTCTGAGAAAAAGAAGATATGGATATCCTATGAAAGAGAACGTCTCTTTTAGTTATTAAAACGAACCTATTTAGAAGAAAGCATGACTGACATAGATACCGGAGACGCTCCTGCCGCTGTGTGCATGTCGCACAGACAGCAGGAATTAGTGGCAGACTGTGCCCCACCGCTGGGGAAACTGAGGAGAGCATGTATGTGCATTGTCATGTGTGTAAGGTGAAGGAGGCGGGAGGTAAAGATCAATGGCTCGGTGTTCGGATGCGTTCCAGGAGAGCAGCGTCATCAATCACAGCCGTCTCGCTGCTCTCCCCGGCTCATGCAAACGCGAGCGTGTTCCAGACAGAAAAGATTGAAAGTGCAGGAGAACTTCCTTATCATCGGTTTACAGTTCCTCCATTTCCCGTGTGTGTGTGTGTGTGTGTGTGTGTGTACAAGGATGTGTGTCCCCTGCAGTATATGAGATACTGTTGTATATTCCATCTTTTCCTCGCCACAACAAATTTATTATCCTCAACAAAGTGATCTTTAAGGTCACTTCATGGCTGGAATTTTTATAGAAGCTGTGCTTGAGCTTTGATTACATTAGAAAAATACAATCAGGTCTGTGAATAAACACCTGTATGTACTCCTTGTTGCTGTCCTCTGAAGGCGTCCAGGCGTTGTCGTCGTTGTTGAGGCGGGCCTGCCGCGGCAACCAGCGGTTGTCGTAGAAGCTGGTTGAAGCCGTGATTTGGTCGTCGCTGATCTTCCCCGACTCCATGCCGAGCGCGTTGCTACAGTGGAATGCTAGTAAAGAGAACAGAGGAAAGGGGAGAGGATTAATCTATAAATGCAATAAAGGTGGAAGAAGATTTGATTTGTCAGCACTGGTGACAGAAACAGAAAGTAGTGTGTATGCTGCATCTGTTTTATTAGTTCAAAACCTTAAAAGATACTTAAAAAGCATTAATACATGCATTAGAAATGATCTCAGTGCTTTTTGCAGAAGCTAACATCTGCAGTTTTCCTCATCAGTGCAGCCAATCAATTTTGGCATCAAATGATCAGAGCACCTTGTTCCACTCGCTTCCTACAAGCCTTGTGTCTGACTGAGCTGAATTCTGTGGTTGCAGCGCGACAAGCAGCAGGTGAGCTGAGGTAAACTGGGGTTAATTTATGTTCTAAATGAAAACACTAGGAGTCTGCTTCTGAGAAAAGAGCAAAAATACTTCTGGAGGGAACTTGAAAAAGCACCGAACCTAAAATAGCATGAAAGCAGGCAAAGCTGAGAATATGGAGAAGGTGAGGAAATGGTAAGAAGAAGAGAAAAAATAAGCTTCAGAGAGAAATGTGATTCAGGAGACGTTATCCTGCACTCACAGTCGGCGACTTCTTTGTGGGTGATGTTGTAGCGTGCGGAGAAGCCGTCTTTGGCTACGGCCATGTCTGTGTGGAAGGACAGGGACAGCAGGCCGGAGGACGACTGGATCTCCGGGGGGATCTTTGTCCCGCAGTACCGACCAATCAGAGGAGACGCTGGAGGAAAATCAAACAGATTAAAAATCTTTACTTGTTTTCTGTGTTTTGGTTTTTTTTTTTTACTTTAAAGCTGTCCAGTAGAAATTCTACTGCAGTAAGTGTTGACTAATGAGTCACAGCATGCCACCTCTTCCTCCCATCATTCCCAACTCTCCCTTTACTTTCCTGTCCATCCCTCCATCTGCCATGTGTGGCTCGGCCAGATCCCAGCAGGGGGAACTGGAATCCCTGCCTTCATGCAAGCTGCACTGGGATCAGCCGCAGATGAGCACCACAGACCCTCACGCACAAACACAGAGAGATTAAAATAGTCTCAAGACAGCCCCTCGCAACCCCTCCTGAGCCAGACGCTAAATTCTTTCACCCTTCCGTCTCGTCTCCCACCCCGAGGACTCGGCTCCCTGGAACTGGGTTACGCTTTAATTTGCTCCTAATTCTCAACTTTGAATGCTATAAATTGTTTTCAGCTATCAAAGCCCTTAAATTGGAATTTTAAATCCACTCGGAACCCTTTTTTAGCGACTGAAAATAATACAATTAGAGCAAATCCTTTGGTCCCAGCGTTATGTTCTGCAGGGGAGGACAAAGAGGTGAGAAATGAATGCCACTTCTCGCCCAGCTTCCACGAGCGCCTGACATTTAACCTTACGGCGATCCCGGAAACACGTGTCTCACCACTTTAAAAAAAAAAAGAACTATTGTTTTTCATAATTATGAAATATTTGGGTCTAGTTTCTCGTGCAATAATCTTAGTACACTTGAAATAAGACAAAACTAACTTACATGTATGTGTTATACTGATAGATTATTTCAGTTATAGCAATACATTTGTCCAATGTTATGAGTGAAATGATCTAAAGGTGGAGCTAGCACTTATCAATATTCAAAAAGCATTAAATTAAAACTAACTCCTAGAATTTGATGAAAAGTTACTTGCAAGCAAGTTTTGTTTTATTTCAAGTGTACAAAGATATTTACACTAGAAAATAGAGCAAAATATTGGGCAAGAGTTTGTATTTTTTGCAGTGATTCAATATTTGGTCTATTTCAAAAGAATTAGTTATTGCTAACTCTAACATTCAGTGTTTTATTTGTTTTACTTTCCTGCGGTTTTCCGTATTAACACCCCTTGATTACATCCAGAAATGTTTTTCCCTGATCTCATTTTTTCCCCTGCTCTCATCTCCTCCTGTTGATACCCATCGCAGCTGTCACTCTGACTCGTCTGGGGAGGAAGGAAATGCCAGGTGATAAGGAGGGGGGGTGATGAAGAGCATTACTATGGAAAAAGGAAAAGGGCCATGGGACAGGCCTACTCCTCAGGGGCATGGAGGCACTTTGAGCTCCTTCTGTGAAATAGCGCTTCCTCTATGGGATGTAATGGAATGTAAGGAAAGGCAGCTCACATCAAAGAGAGCGATGGCAGCTCAGGAAATTGAAGGCCGGCATGCAAATTTACACACAGGGGCGACGGGGATTGCATGAGTCAGTGGATACGGCGTGTGAATGTTCAAAGTGTGCGCGCGTCCATTCATCTCTCCTCCTGGGGTTGCGTTCGGCTCACCTTGCGGAAGGCCGTCCCACACCTCCAGCCAGTCGTACTTGCAGTCGCCCTCGCCCACCATGAGGGGGTCATTCTCCAGGTCAAACGTGAGGAAGGTGAGGGTGATGTCCATGTGGGGCGGAGCCATGATCATGTAGGAGCACTCCAGATTGTGCGGGTATTTGTCCGGGAAGCCCGGGGACTCGATCATTCCGGACAGGCTGGTGAAGTTGCGGAAACAGAATTCCGACCCTAAGCAGATAAAGAGGATATAAGAAAATTTTAATAAATGAAAAATAATAAAAGGAGGAAGAAAACAGCCACATTAGGAGAGAATAGATGCGCAAGCAATCGATCATCACTAGCGTCTCAGAGAGTCGTTCGTCACTGACAGCCAGCTGGGATATACAGCAGCTGCAGTGGTGAGAAAATATGATACATATAAATGTATTGCATTATGAATACTGAAATCAAAAGATATGTTGAGTCATTGCACTGCAAAATCAACCCAGAAACGGTTCGACAGACACAAAATCAGCCTACTTCCATACGCCTGTCTATACATACAGGAACGCAGCCCTAAATGCAAGACATGCTGAAGATTTAGTCATGTTTTATGCCTTAGTTATGACCTGAAACAAGCACCCTCTAATGACACTCTTAAATGCAGGGCTAAAGAGCAGATCTGACCCCTGCGCTTCCTCACACAGTGAAAACAAATGAACCCTGAACTCTTCCCTCCTTGTAGTCCCTTTAGTCTCCTCCTGTATGCAGCTTTCCTTTTAAAAAGCGCACGCTCTTACGCCACAAAACTGGTGTAATGGTTCTAAGTGGGCCCTCTGCGGCTGCTCCTCATTAGCCATGCAGATTTATGCGCCCGGGGCGGCTCACCTTGAGCGGCAGCAGCTGTGTGACTCAGATCATCTACCCATCAGCCACTGCTTCCCGGCCCACTGGGGAGCCCGAGTCACGGCCGAGCGTTTATGGACCAGCACCTCAATGAGGGTCTCAGAGAGCAGCAAGCTGACAGAGAGCTTTGCACAAATGTCACACACACACACACACAACCTCATTCACAAACCGTTATTTTCTGTCTGCTGTCTTTCCTCCAGAGCATTTCTATCTTTACATCTCTGGCGATGAACAATTTGCTCTGGCTTGTTGAATGTCTTTATGTTCTTCTATTTTTATTCCTGCCAGAGGGTCAAGCATCCTAATGAGATAATGTTGCTTAGAGACAGGATTTTCATTTGATCCCATTTAATTGCAAGTCAGAAATCCCTGCACTAGTGGCCTTGCTAAACCAACTAATCGAATGCTTTGGAAAAAAAAAACCTTCCCAACTTTTTCACGGTGGACTTGCTGCAGCGGCAAACTTCAATGTAATTTATTGGGATTTTATATAACAGACCAACACAGTCACATCTGTATTCACAACCACTTACAATGATGTTCTATAATGAAATCTAGTAGTCTGTAAAAAGAGTCCAGATTTGTGAAGCTAATGTTAGTGAAGAAACAGAATCGGCAAGACCAAAGAACACAACATAAAGTTTAAGGATTATAAAACATGGGAAGAGAATGGCACATTAAAGTAAAACTGACATGTTATAACAAAAATAATTAAGGATTTTAAGACACCAAATACAGAAAGAAACCCTTTAGAGGCTACAAAGGACTAAACATAAAGCCAGAGCTACAGTAGAGAGGTTTAGAGCAAAGATGTATGGATTAGAATGGTTTAGTCAAAGTCCAGATTTTGGAGACTTAAATCAAAAATCCACTTGATTTAAGTCTCCATTGAATCTGACTGCCCTTAACTTTACTTAACTTTCACATCAAAAAAATGGTCCAACTGTATATACCACATAAAATACCAGGAAAACACGTTCAACTTTGAGGTTATAACATGAAACAATGTGAGGCGCCATCTACATTTTCCCATTATAGTGATTAAATAATAAATTATCAAGTTTTTGCTCATCTGCTGCTGAATTTACCAACATTTTTTCATTCTGCAACCGGTGTTGCAGTCAGCCCTGTTCTTGCGATTCTTTCCCATCGCTGACTGTGTTGGGAAGCAGAGTGGGAAGGTCAAGATGAAGCGGTATCTGGGGAATGTCAAACGTCGGAAAGCAGTTGTGCATCGCAGCAGCAGCAGCAGTAGCTCTGCGCTGTCTCAGAGAACTGCCAGTCTCCGTTTGATAACACGTTCAGGATTCATAAAAGCAGCGTTTAAAGAGCGCAGACACGTTGACTGGGCATTCCAGCGGCAGAGCATTCCTCCGAGGCACCGGTCCTTATTATCAGGCTGCCGTGTAAAAAAGCAGAGGGGTCGGCCGGCTGCTCCGGCCCTCCCCTGCCTGCGCTTGGTTAATGGTGGAGAACTGACCCCAATCAGCACGGAGACAGGAGGAAAAAAACGAAAAAAACAAACTCAGGAGACACGCAGTGTTTTCCTCCTCTTCTCATAACATCTTTTTCAGCCCATTGTGATGCAAATACCTTACATTTTTCACTTCTCGGCTCATATGTGAACGTATTGGCATTTTAGCGACGTCTTTGTCTGCCGATCGATGCGGCGTACACCGTGCACGTTGTGCAGAAGATGTTGACCCAAATGCATGAATCTCCTCCCACGTGTTAAGAGCTGCATTCAACCTTTTGTGTCATCTCTCCCACACTCACACACACACACACACACGCACACACGCACGCATGCACTGTGTTGCTTCAAACCATCACTGGGCTTCATACACACACCCTCGCAGAGAGAAATATGACAGTAATTTACAACAAGCTACAGGCGGCATCACCCAATCCCCTCACCTTTATGTTTAGTGTTGCATAAATCCTGCATGTAACTAAAGCACCTATTGTGAGGGAGAAAATTAACTATTAAGGATGCATGAGCAGCTGTTAGCATGTGCTATTAAGTGGTTACTGTAATGTGTGTGAGACTCACACACACTGCTTTAGATTCTTACTGGGTCACTGTGCAGCAAAAAAAAAAACAACCCTCAATCTGAGCACAGCTTGACTCGGCTGCACTCCGTCTTCAAACTGTGTCTGCAACCCTCAGCGTACTTGAACTATCCGCCTCCCATGCAGGCGTCTGGGTGCTTGCGCGTGTTTGTGTGAGCCAGTGTGGCGTAAGTGCCTTAGAACCTCTGCTTGCTCTTAAACCTTTGTGTTAGAGTATTAGAAATACTTTAAAACATGCAAATAAACAGTTCAGTTCCTTCTGCAAAAAGGAAAAATAAACATTTTTGATTCTGTCTACTCCAGTTAATGTGATCCTCCACCACAGACCCTTCCCAGTCAACACATCATCCCCTGACCTTTTGAATAGTTTGGCTACACTACTAGGTGATTACTTTTGTTGCTTTTATGCCTGTGGCTGCAGGTGTGTGTGTGTGTGTGTGTGTTAGACACAGTAACACACTACCTCAGATTCTTACTGGGTCACCATGAACGAAAAAAAAAAAACAAACCCCCTCAATCTGAGCACAGCTTGACTCCAGTGCGCCCGCCTGAGCTGGCAGCCTTACATGTCGTCGTCTGGGCGTGTATGCATGAGTAGCCCCACTTATTAGTTCGCAGCCAATGAACATGCTAAAAACAAGTTTCCCTGACATGTCTTGACCCATGGCTGAGCCAGACACGCACACACACACACACACACACGCCTGTCACTCGCAGGCCGCCAGTCGGTGCTTTGCGGCGCACCATGAGCTGCCATTTGGCAGGAGACGTCTCCTGGCAGTGAGCGGGAGGTCATGGTGTGAGTGTGTCAGTGTGGCGGAGAGAGGGGAGACGACGGAGGGCGGGTTGCTGGGTAGAAACCGCCTCGTCCGGCAGCAGCTCCACATGTTGTGTCGGGGTTATCCCCCGTCTCTCCTCCTCCTCTTCCTGCTGTCGTCTCTCATCTTCTCACTTTTCGCCCATATCCAGCTCCCTGTCTCGTCTGAGGAGCTCACCTCCGCCGCCGCACATAAAAACCGCCCCTACCTCACTGTCTGACAAACATCCACTGCTCAAACACAGGCACGCCTCTCATGCAGCACAACTTGGTTCAAGGTTTCATTGAAGGGATTCTCTCCAGAGCTGCGTGAGGAAGGGATGGGTGCGTGCAGAAATGTGTAACCCAAGAGGCGCTGTGCAAATGTGGTGGTGGTGGGGGGGTTGGAGGTGGTTAGAGTGGAAAATCCACAACAACAACAATGAAACATTGTGAACAAGAAACAGCTACAAAAAAAAAAAAAGATAAAAAAAGAAAAACAACGTTCCTGGCATGCCATGGTTTTGGCACTAATTTAGTCCTCAAACAGAGCAGCTTTTTTTTTTAGAGAAATTCCTCAAAGAGTATTCACACAAAATTAAAAACAACCCTTCTCAGCTTCCGTCTGTTTCCGTCTCTCACTTTCTGATCAGGTCTCTTGTTTCATTCTGCGTCAAGCTTTTCCCCATTACCGATCTGCCCCGTTTAATCACCTTTGCCAGTTAATTGCTTGAGTGTAATTTCAGCGCCAGGGTGACTTGGGCATTTCAGGAATAAACAACACCGCAATCAGGAATACGGTCACAGCCAGCACTGATGCAAAGGGGAAGGCGTCCAATCAACTAGATAGCATCAAAAATACACATGGAGTCAGTGTTTTGGCTGGAGCTCCAGTTGGTGGGGGGTCCTGCCTTAGGCTCCGCTCCCACTCCCACTCCCACTGTGACCCCACAGACGCCACGCTCGGCAGCGGTCACGGAGGAGACCCAACGCCCTTAGGTGCTCTCTCACCATCTTTACTCTGGATTGGCTGTGCTGTGATGCTCCCCATCCTGCTAGTGGCGGCTTTGGGGGGGGGACCAGGGAAAATGGGGGCTTGCTCTGCTAGTCTTCCCTCTGTAGCCGTGGTAACAGCATCAGTAGCACATGACCGTGTGTTTGTTAAAATGTCTGAGAGGCGCATGGGTTGTGATGAATAAAGGGTTAAGCACGCACGAGTAGGACTAAAGTAGGCCACAACAATAAGGGGGAGGAGGGAAGGATTTTACTGCACCCTTTTACTGGACAGAAGCTTTAAAGGGATAGTTCAGCATTTTTAAAGTGAGGTTCAGTCAAACGGTTACGAGCACTTGATATAAACTTTTATCAAGTAGATAAATGTGACTGAAAAATGCAACTTTACGAATCATTTTTGTGTCAAACCATTTTGTACTGTCAGAGTAACTAATGTGAAGTAAAGCAGCTGTTATATTTCTTATTTTTTCCACAGTTAAGTCTTTTTTCCCCTTTTAAAATGACCACAGCGAACTCCTGCCTACTCATTGTTCAGTAATCGAGGAATCATCTACTTGCACATTTTACAGTGGAACGTAACTTCCAAATTATTCACAGAAAATGTGCCAACTTGCAGATTTTTTCAAATGTATTACAAATGTATTGCAGCTTCCCTTGGCACAATGATACTTGTCGTTGTTTTTCTCTGTGCTGATTGGCTGCACCCCCACAACAGGAAATAAGGAAGACAGTTAATGTTAGCTTCTGTGGCACACAGAGTTTCCACTGTGCACATTAATTGATATTAATCTATATTTGGGGTTGAGCTATGCAACAGGAAATGGAATAAGCTTTTTTTTTTTTTACAGGGGGTCTTAGGGATTGATTTTTAAGATGGCAGAAGTCTGCTTTGGTCTGGGCTCCTAAACAAGCAGGTGCATTCAGCCTCCTGAACCTGCTAATCTGAATTCAAAGCAGATAAAGATGTAGAAGAGTTACCTGCAGCAGGTGTGATATTAGCTGCTTGTAACCTGTAATTAGATCCTCACTTGAAAAACCCTGAGCTATTCATTTGAAGAGTGCATGTACAAGGAAAGGATGATGTTTTGGGGAGAAAACACTCAGTCTCCCCTCTGGAGGCACAGTGCAGGGGGGAGAAAGTCAAAGGTCGACTACTGATTTGTGTTACTGTACCCAATAACACACACACACACACACACACAGCTCAACACAAGCTCATTCCTCATCCGACTGAAAAATCCCTGGAGTAGCTATCGTCACTGCTTATGAAACAGGATTCAATGAACAAAATAGAAACAAGCCGCTGCATCATTAGCTCATCGTACAGAAAGCACAAACACACACATCCACACACACGCAATCAAAACCAGACACACACTGTCTGAGTCTGAGACAGAGTGGTGTCTGTTCAAGATGGGGGAGGAAGCTGAGCACAAACACACATCTCCCAGCTGTGTGCTCTGATATCCATCTCTGGACGCACCCTTTAAAAACACATACAGACCCATAAACACAACCCTCACACTGTACACACATGTTGCCCTTTAAACGACCTGGAATTATGGCTGCATGAAATGCAAGATTTTTGAAAAACTATTCTTAGAATCCTAATATTTTTTTTCTTTTTGTCACACTTAAATGCTTCTCATTGTCAATCACATTTCAATTTCATACAAATATTACCCAAATTAATACAAAATGCTAAATTGAGGAAAAAAAAGTTGTCCAGACTAACAAGTGAAAATTTAATTTCCCACTAAAACCAGTTGTGCCACCCTCAGCGACAACGGCTGCTATCAAGTGTTCGAATCATGGAGAATCAAGAAGTCACAGACAGAACCTGTCTGACAAGATAAAGTAGGCTTAACGACCTAAAAAAGCAACATTGAATTTTATTCCAGTTCCTCCAGACGGCACTGGAGGAAATGAAGGATCCTGGTTTTACTCGACAGAAGTTGCGAGGAGCTCAGCAGAAACCTGCGACCCAGACCTGCCACAGACAGACAAACAGCCATGATGGGCGAGAGAGTGCAGGCAGTGGAGCTGTCGTAATTAACACTTGGCCTCAATCACGCACCCTGAATACGTTTTCACTCTCTGACGTCCTCCTTTCCTCTTCGGTCTGGCCAGCAATTCCCCAACCGTCCCCCCGTCTTGGTTGTTTTTCCTGTCTCTCATGTGCAGCTATCACGCCACCTCCACATATACAGGCAGAATCTCACACAACGAGCTGAGCAGAACCACCCACACACGCCTACATGTGCTCGCACACTGACACAATCTCTTATAGCCCCAGAATTTCTACCAGGATCTTATTAAAGCTATAGCAACCGCATCCCCCATCCTCTATCCATGTCTGTGTACGTGAGACAGATGCAATCTGAGCTAAAGCGTCATTGGGGTTCAAGGCGGTGGCCCTGGTAACGGAGCTGAACGACAAATCTGGGTCACAGTCGTTTGACACAAACAAGAGAGATTTTTTTTCTCAAAGGTGGGAGGCGATAACTTGTGATAAGAGGAATGCTTAGTCAATTCTTCCCCCCACAGCTCTTCCTCTTTCCATTTTTTTGTGCTTAAACCAAGACACAGGTTGGAAGCAAAACGGTTCAGGAGCGAGATGAAATGCTGCAAAAAGTGCTGGTGCGCTCACTTGGACATAAATCTTGCAGCTCCGAAGGCCATTTAACCTCTTCTGCCACTGCGACGACTATAGCAAACACACCCAAACGGCCAAAACAAATCTACTCCAACCTTGCGTGCACTTTGCCCACTTTGAGAGAATCCCATTTCAGCTCAAACTCATCCCCATCAATCTCCTCGCTTCAGCTTCTTACCTATAAACCTTTAACCTTCAGTCTAACTCTGAAGTAACCCCGGAGCTCGCTCCATCATCCCACCACAGCCTTCCACATCCAGACTTCCTCATCTTCCCAGAAGAAGCGGACTTTGCAGCAATTAAAGTGCATTCCTTACGTCCTCCATGTCTTAAAGGCAGTTTGCTTTCTTCTCTTTGTCTGATTACATCTGTTTTGCTTCTGCCAATATAAATAGGGGGGAGTGAATCCAGGTTTTTGGGTCCCACAGATCATCGTTTCCTCACCTGTTTTAAAGATCTCGTAGCGTAGAGAGAACCCGGCGCCCTGATGAGCGTAATCTGAGACGAATCTGATCTGGATTGAGGGCCCAGATGAGATGATGGGTGGCGGGGCGATGTTGCTGCAGTGACGGCCCAAAACGTCAGCGCTTTCTGAGGTCCCATCGCGGATCTCTATGAAGTCATACCTGAGCAAAACAAAACAGAATAAAAAAATCAAAGAGGGGAGAAACGATTTCTTTTAGCGTTTTCTTGCAATCATTTGTCTAAAAAGTTAGCACTGCATTCAGTTTATGGCAGGAATGTCAACAAAAAAGTGATGGGGTAGTTAGGAATTGGAGTTAATGAAATCCAGACAGGTGTTGACCTGAGAGCGGCTTTATGATAGAATCCCTGAATTTAGAAATACAACCAATCACGGGGAGAAATAAACTGTGTTGTCTCCCCACAGATGGATTCAATAAATGTAGCTCTTCTGACCCAGTTTTTGCTCGGGACGGCACGCTCAGATCTCTTTGATGACAGCTCGGGGCGAACAATCCCCAAATCCCTGAATATTGGATCACAGGAAAGAAAACGGAGGGAGGGCTGTATTTCAAACAGAACATATTTTAGTGAGCGTCTGTCAACTCGGAGGCAGAGGATGCGAGCAAACAGACGGCTGGATAGATTCATTAATAAAAAGAGTAAAAATAGATGGTTGAAGCTCATGAAAAAATGAAGAGGTGAGCACCACCGAGCACTGGCACCAAACTCGGTTCTGATTAGTTTCCGCATGCTTGTTTTCTCAGTTCTTCGTTGAGCTCTGACCAACCAACTGACCCCGAACGATGAAAGCAAATTCTTATGTCAGCCTGTGTGTGTGTGTGTGGGGGGGGTTAAGTGTGTATGAAAGAGAGGAAGCCAAAGAGAGACAGTGCACACCTATCTAATCCTGAATTAGCTCATCGCTCTGTGTACCATTCCCTATGTCAGCATCACTGATTGAAACAACATGCAGATTTGGTTCATGTTGGACTTTTTCATCCTTTTTTGGGCTTTTCTACTTCTGAGAGCACGCTGGGCTTGGTTGAGCGCGCTTCAACTCTGCCAGGCATAGCTCCAAAAAAAGAAAGGTTTTAATGGACCACAAATGTTTTTGCAAATGTGTTCGCTTCGGAGGTCATAACTCACACTGGGGTGTTTGGCACAACATGTTCTGCATGGGAGGGAGGGAAACTCTGGGATTTGGTAGCAACTTTCATAAATGTATGCATTCGAACAGAAAAGGAACATGATCACACAGAGACATTGGAACTGATTTAAAGAGATTAATACTCATTTAATATGTGCAGCAGGAATTTTGGACATTTTAAGGTGTCTCGGGATGGCTGATTTGTTTTTGTCAGGAAGAAAGGTGCAGAAACATCCTAGTTTGGAGTGTGAACTTTTCAATGCTGCACTCTTAGCTACAAAGGCTGTAATATTGAGGTGGATGGAAAAAAAAAAGCTGTGAAATTTAGGATGCATCAAAACAAACTAAAAGTTTGGCGCACAAGTGCAAACTTTCCTGAGGCTTGTTGCTGATTGGCTCATTCTGTAAACATAGGTTGGAATATTGGTCCGTTTTGTTTCTACACTCTGAAAATGGTGGAAATGTTCACCTTTCATTCATTCATCTTCATAAATAAGTGCTGTCTTTCCTGGATTTTATCCCTTTTGGGACATGAAATGCTGCAGAGTTGCAGCTTTTAGCATCCTAATTTGGGGTTTGGTCAGCATTGGATCGGGAAGGAATGTTTTCATTTTTGTTTGGTGGCAACCTGGTGCTTAAGTGCTATTTAATGCAAGGTTCAGTATAATTTATCTGAGTAATTATGCTCTTTTCAAAGACTATTAGACTCACTTTTATACCTCTAATTTTCTCAAAACGACCTGTTTGAAATAAGCATGTTGATGAGTTTCTCGACTGATTCATTTTCTTTCCATCCTTGTCTCCATAGTATCGCCTCCCTTTCCTGGTACATGTTGTATTTTCCTGTATTGCTAACTGCATCGCTGCAGGAGCCTCGCAGCTAAGTGAGAGCGCCCTCCGAACGTGCAGACGTGCAAACACACTTGTCTGAGTTAGTTTATGTGACAAAGCTGTCAAGGAACAATGGGGTCGCCTTTATCTTGCTAATTAGCATGATGAGCTGTTTGGTGCTGACAAAGCATTACAGGCATTTCTGGGCTCAAGCATATATTTAAAACCAACATCTTTGCTAATGTTCTTGCTGCTGCTTTAAAGTGAAAAGCATTCAGGGTGTGCTGAGACATGGCAATCAGCTCAAGCCTGTAGTTGCTTGTGGCATCTGAACACTAAGATGGCTTTTGTAGTTCCAGCTTGAAATAAAACCCGGATTAAGAAGAGTCACTAATCTCCTTTTTCTTTTCTTTTTTTTTTTTTTTTTTTTAGCTATCTCACTCTAGCAGCGTATTGACTCCAGTGCTGAGCATTCAAACTAAGACTGCTGATCGAGGGATAATCCCAGCACATTAATCTGGGTCACAGTGGCAACTGCAAAGGTGAAGACCGGAACACTAAATGGCTGAAATGAGCCGGAGATGTTGCAACAGTTGTCAGTGCTACTGAGGAAAATATGGAGAGGGCAGAACCATAAAACAAGAGAAGAAGAGTTCACAATGCCAAGCTTTTGATTTCGACATTAGGAGCTGCAAGATGCACCTCGCTAGAGTCTGGAAATCCCCACCTCTTGAGGCTAATTAAGGAATTAGTTTGTCCTTGCATTGTGATAAACAAACCAGTTCTAATCATGACCAGATGTGTTTAAGTCCTCATGTCACAGGCAGTTTGAGGATTTGAAGTTTTAGGCCTGAGTAGCACTAACACTTGCGGCTAAAGAAGCTGCCGTCCAATACTCTTATACATGCCCTGCTTGTAATCCTGCATTACAGAGGCGATCGTAGAGGCTTTAGTGCCAGGCTCCCACAGTGAGTCTGTGAGAGCCACTGCTATCCCTAATGCTTAAGGCTGTAACCAACACATGCTTGGGGAAAACAACATTCAGGAGCATGCCAACAAGCACACACCACTCATGCAAACAAGCGCACAACGTGGAGATACGGGCAAACACGGGCGCGCACGCATACACTGAGTGGCGTATCTCCAACTCCGGGGATAAAAGGCCCGTGAAAGAGCTGAGAGCCTAATTAGGTTTTAATTGATTTTGGAGTGGGTCTTTATCCTTCTTTCTGTCTCTCCCTCTCTCCTGTCGTGGATTAGCGTCAGCGAGTGAGTGTTCCTCAGATGTGATTATTGACCTGTTCGCTCAGCCTCTCCCCAGGCTCTGATGAATACATGTATGAGGGCCCGACGCGCGAGAGCCCCGCCGTCTGCCTCTCACACACGCGCACTTGAACACATTCCAGGACGTTGCACACAAATCGCCGGCGCACGCGTGTGCTCGCAGACCTGCGAAAGGCGCGCATGATGCAGCATCCGCACATTCGAGGAGACAGGTCCAGATTCCATTAGGGCTTGTTTTGAAGCAAGCTCCACCCCGTTCTGTCTGACACCACCATCCATTCCCCTCGTATGTCTGGCGGTCTGTCTGGGGTCTTCCCGACTGGCCCCTCATTGAGGGAGCCATAATAAGGCAACTGCTTCACCCTCCATGGTTTCCCCTTTGGGGACTAGTTGGAACAGAGGGACAGGGGTTAAGGAAACTAAAACCCCTCAGGGGCCAGTAATTCTGCACTGGTCCAGACATGTCTTCTCTTCTTCTGCTCTCATATATCACGGCGCCCCTGCGTCAAAGCAACTAATTGCCTTTCACACCTTTGCTGTTTGCTGGCGACCAGGGACATTTCCTCCAGCCGACAGTACCTCATTGCAGCCAAACAGAAGTCTAGTATCGATAGACCATATGTGTGCACATTATTATGTCTCTGTATCAACCTTTGGGACCATATGAGCTCTTCTGGGTCACTCAGAGTCCTATAAACACATGCTGGTACACTACTTGTTGGTCTTCTTTTAGATTATGTCAAATCAGCAATCAAAATCTTGTTTGCCAAACTCTCTTGAAAGTATTTTTTAGTTACAGCATGAGATTGACCAAAATTTGGCTTGCGGCAGAACCCTGGATGTCTGATTTATTTTGTTTGTGCAGATAATGCAGCAACAGCTGTTCCGGAATATCTGCAAACCAAACTTGGCTGGATTTAGACACTCAGGAGGCATTCAGCTGAGATGATTTTCCCCTCTCTGCTGTATCTCGTTTTATTTTCTCCTAATTTTCTACTCTCGGAGCACAGAAACCCACTAAATCCCTCTCTCCCAGACAATGAAGAGTCAGACGCCTGTCGCTTTCTTGTCCTGACGACGCACAGAAGCAGAAAGGAAGTAGGAGTGGAGGGCACACACACTCCAACGTCCCATCTCTCTCCCATCCTCAAAGGGGACTCTAATAAACCGTAAGTGCCTCTGAAATATTAACTAGATGCTGTGAGCGGAATCCCAGCAGATCTGCAGGGTCTGCCAACTTCAATCTTGCCCCAAAACAAACCGTACGTCTCTTCCTCCTGTCCTCATGCTTCACTGCCTTTCCTCAGCTGTCCATCACTGGCTCATACTTACAGATGACGGGGGATAAACCGCTGACCGCAAACCATCTAAGGTCAGCAGAGTATTAATCTCAACCTCTGCAGCTGTGATCCCCTTAGAGTTTCATATAAGCGTGATTAGGTTTTTCTCAGAAAGTTTTCAAATTCCTACAAAAATTCTGGGAGGCTTAGAAGGAAATTTGCTGTTGCAATTGTTCATTGACCCTCAAGGTTGAGGGTCAGGTACTGCCTGAAGCACAGGAGTTCAAGTATGTTGGTGCTCATGAATGATGGGAGGATGGGGCTGGAGATGAACAGAAAGGTTCAGGCCTTGTGTGTAGTTACGTCCACGCTTTTTCAATCAGTCAAGGTAAAGAAAGTTGAAAGCCACTAGAGAGCAAAGCTTCTGATTGAGCTTCCTCCACAGAGGGACAAGACTTAGAGGTAAGAGAGGAACTTTGTCATCTGCGTGGAGCTCAGATGACGGCTCCTTTTAAAGATTCAGTTGGAGTTTGACAACATGCAGGATGGACTTCCTTAAAACCTTCTCTGATCTGAGAAGGTTTTAAGATCCTCTAGAATGAGTGTCTGGAGAGCTTTGCTCAGCAGTTTCCCTTCTGAACCTGCTACCCTGAGGATCTTGGGTAAGCGGAAGATGATAGATGTATGGATGGAGCAATACACTCCCTGTGACCCATTGCTTGGTGTTTCAGGTCAACATGACTAATTGATCTACGTAGATATATCATCATTCTGTGTTTGAAACTACTGTGACTTCTGGAGGTTGATGATTATGATTTCGTTCTAAATGTCGGCCAAGCGCCAAATATCGACCAATCCAGTGCTGAACAACTCCCTTCATCCGTGACCTTTGGGAACTCATCCATCTCTCCTTTCACCCGGAACCGTACTCTACCTTCTTTTCCTCACTGCCTTTCCTTCTGGCTATTGCTGATCATCTATAGATTTCCCATTACAAGCGGAATACGGGGATCGATCCCCCTCAGAGAGCGATACAACACAAAGAAACACACACACACACACACACCTGCAAACGGAGTTACCTGTCATGAGGAGGCAGTGTGTGGATTTACAGCTAAATGTACGTGAGAGTGTGTGCATGTGACATTACGAAGCTATATCATAAAACCTTCTCACCAGAGGCGGAGTTCAATAACACATAACCAAATAAAAAAAAGAAAAGAAAAGAAAACCCTCAAAAGTGGAAGAAATGACTGCAACTGTGCCGTTCACTGTTTAATTTGAGCATGTGAAATTAAAACAGATCCTCCCTGGGCTAGAGAAGAGACGGAACGGGGGGAAGAAAAAGAGGAAGCCAGACAGACTGAAAGAGGAGGATGAACCAAAATAGATATGAAGCAGGAGAGAAACAGGAAAACAAGAAGGAATCGTCTCCACCTCGAGCTCTTTCTCCGCTTCCTCAGCAGCTCCTGCTATATCACTAGGTAGCATCCTGGGGCTCAGTGATGGCAGATTGCATTAGAGATATGGGCCTGATATTTCATCTAGCCTTTATTACATTTAGTTCACATCAATCGGCTGGCAGCCTGGAGGTAAGAGCTATTTGGCACATGGCCGGACTCCCCCTGAAATGAAATCCTGAATTAAAGTGCCACCTCAGACACGGAGCGCCTACACGAGGCTGCCGATTTGATTGCTGCAGTAGAGCCGCGGTCTCTGGCTGTGTCCGAGTGCTGAACGGGGAGAGCGAGGCGGGAGGAGCGAGAACTCACCAGCTGGCCGGGTGTATTAGCCAGAGTTCAGAACACATGCATGGGCTGAGCAAGCAGTTTTTTCCAGCTTTTTATGAGAGCCTAAAGTGTCCAGGGAGGAGCTATGATGGCTGATGAGCACTTTCACACTGACAGGCTGAATCTTTAAGCAGCTGTGTGTTATTTTATAAGCATCCAAAACATATGGTGCCTCAGAAAGGGTGTTTACAATTCTTGAATTTGGTCGTTTTATCACATGACAACAACCGGTTTATCTATTATGCTTGCATTTTATGTCACAGAACAACCAGAAGTATTCCATAACAGTGAATTGGAGGAAAAGATTAAGAATGAAGTGTGGGAGTATCCCTATTTTCCTGATAATACCTACCCTTTACACCTACGCAGTAAATAAAGTCTACCTAGAGAGCAACCAAGAGACCAGCTGTAACTTTAGAGGAGCTGCACAAATCCACAGCTCAGGTGGGAGAATCTATAAGCTACAAGTCCACAGATCTGCTCTTTTTGGAGAAGAGGGAGAAAAAGAGCCATTTCTGAAATAAATACCATTTTCAAAAAAGTTTACTGCCTTTCAGCAGGTCATCAGCATAACACTAATAATAAAATTCAGATGCTCTCCATCTAATCTGACAGAACTATTATGCAAAGAAAATTTAGCAAAAGCATCTGGAGAGGTAACGTAGAAGACCTGCGGCCATAATTCCACCAAAAGATGGTTAAAAAAAGCATCGACTCAAGATTGGTTCAATAAAACTGCACGCCGCACCTTTCAGATTGATATTTGTAAACATTTATCATCTTTTCCTCCAATTCTGCAGTAGATTCAATTCGCAGTTGACATCATCAGCGCTGTGATGATGTCCCTGAGGAGAGGTAAGACTCCTCAGGTAGCGCACTGCGCTCTGCTGCCGTCTCTCTAATCCCCGCTGCTATGCAGATTTCCAGTGCCGGCCAAGAGACTGAATCCCGCCACCTCTGCACCTTTCCTCCGGCTATCCTCGTGGAGAACCGTGAAAACATGCAAAAAAGTCCGCTCCCTGCTCTCGCCTGCTCACGGCGTCATGCCTAATCGCACAGGCGGAAAAAAGGGAAAGGAACCTGCAAAGAGGGCCACAAGGCTCGGATCAAGCCTTGCAGAAAGCGTTACAACAGGATGAAGAGAACAGGGATATCTAACGCCTCGGAGGGGGGAAAGCATCGTCTTTTGATGAGCAGAACATTAGTGTTAGAGGTCACGCATGCATAAATGTTGCAGCGATTTCCTGTTTTTTTGAGATGGGGCTATTTTACAGCACTGGATGGATGGAAGCAGGAAAACGGGAAGCAGAGCTGCTAATGCTTAGTAAGTCGTCCTCAGTGCAAACACACAGGAAGAGTCTGAGTGGGAGTGTGTGTTAGAGGGCAGGCAGAGGCCTCCGACCCTCCAGGCGAGTGTTAAAAACGGGGGGAAAAAAAACTATCCCAATAAAACTGTCTGTGAAGAGGAAGGGAAATCAGCCTCCTCTCTGCCTTTGGGCTGTGAGAAACTCCTTATCAACAGCCGAGCTGGGAGTCAGCTGACTTCGCGCCGTTCGGGCCGCGACGCCGGGTGCTAACATATCGGCAAAAGAGATAATTACCCACCATTTCTGCCTCCTGACGGAGAGCGACAGAAACGTCGGGGGGAAATAACATTTCCAGCTGTGGCAATGTGACACAGTCGAATGAAAAGAGCTGACAATCATCACGAAGGCCCACTTTCACCCACCGAGCTACTGAAGGGCTTGTGGATGTAGCATTTCTCTCCTGGCTATCTCTGGGAACAATGCAACAGCCGCCATCTGGGATTATTAGATCCCGAGTTTAAGGAGAGAGCGAGGCAGAGAGAGAAGGGAGACAAGTCGTGGGTTCATTGTGCATGATGAACTCGCACATAAACTGCTGGGTGTTATGGGAAATATGGTCCGTCTCCTGGTTGTTTAAAACCGGACTCACACAAAGGAGACAGTGATTTAATTTGAGGTCAAAGACAATAGAGGCTCACATGCTTCTGATTATTCACGTCTCAGATATAAGAGCTGACCAGCTTTATCTAGATAAACAGCTGGATTTCATTTACTCCCTCCCTCCCCCATATTTTGCCTGTTTATTCTTCTTCTCTGCCCACACCATCTACCATGACTCGGCTCTTTGATCCCGTTTTGGTTTCCTTCGCTCCAACTGCCCTGCATGCCCAACTTCAGCTCCACACATTTCAAAAGCGTCCTGGTATTTGACTATCAGATGGAGGAGTGTGTGTATGTGTGCTGGGGCAGGAGGTTGTTTATAGTCTTGATAAAAAAGTTCATTTTTGGATTAAATATATTGAAAAAGCTCTCGACAGGCATGCGGCCTATCTAAAGCTCGAGCTATTTGAAAAACTCTTTATATTTCTTCAAAAATTACGTTTTGGCTTCTGCAGAAGCTCTGATTTAACCTCAGATAGGAAAAAGAGCTGCATATATTTTATTTGCTTCTCTTTCTTTAATTTCTTTGTCACAAATGAATTTTTGTAACAAATATAAATATAGACTAAAAGCTTTTAATCTTCTCTCTTGTTGTCTCTATTCCACACAAGAATAGGTACATTTTTTAAAAATCTGTAAGTGTTTCAAATAAAATAATGTAAAGTAGTGCACAGTTTGTGCAGGTCACTGACTCTGCACCAAAGGGTTAAAAGGTTTAACTAGTTTCCATCATTCAGGCAGAGAAATGCCTCTTCAGCTAAGTGGACAGCTCCTCCTCTTCCTCCGGGTCTTACTTGCAGTCGAGCCTCTCGATCTCGAAGTGAGGGTTGAAGTTGAGGACGATGCGCTGCGAGGTCTCCGGCGCCTGGATGACCCAGTGGCAGTTCTGATGAGGCGGGTACTCCAGAGGATAACCGGGCGAGGTGATGTAGCCGGGCTTGCTGGCGTCCAGGACGCCTCCACAATCTGAATCTGTGGTGGAGATGGAGCACAGAAAGAGGCCGGTTATTCACCGCTCACACGCTCATTTTGAAGCATTTCCAATATTTCCACGACCGCCATAAAAACGCAGTTCTCTCCTGTCGGTGCGATGATGCGATGAGCAACAGATGAGCACTAAAACAAAGAAAGCAATTTAGGCCTTCGGTTTGGTGGAAATTGAAAAAACTTCTCCATTGTGGATTCTCAATGCGCTACTAAAACAATACAAGATGATGCATTTATTGGAACACACACACACACACACACACACACCCAAGCGAGGAAACACACAGTCTTTTATCCCCTCCTTCCACACCCAGCCTCTTATCTCCATCCTTCTCCTTGGGGAGCGTTCCTCCAAGTGTAATTGTTGCTCCAGCAAGCCAATCTGCAAACATTAGGACACATTCCCTGATCCTATCGCGCTCTCTCAGGAACAATAGCCTGCCAATGGCATCGCTTGGAAGGCTGAGGCAGGAAGTGACACGCAGACGGCCTGTCTAGCGGGGTTCTGAGGGGTCACCCCGACTCCGTATTAAGAAGCTAACGCTGCAACAAAGACTCCATTCTCTGCTCGCACCCTGGCGGCCGCAGCAGCTTCGGCGCTCTGCGTTATCTCCCGCAAACACGCCAAACACATAAACTCACACACACAGACAAAGGGAACATGTATAGCAGTATTCTGCACATACAAAAGGACGAGTCGCGGGCACACACACACACACACACACACACACACACACACACACACACACACACACACACACCACACACACACACACACACACACACACACACACACACACACACACACACACACACACACACACACAGCTCTGGGCCGTTCCTTTATTACGTTTTATTAAAGCTGGAGACATGTTCTCCATGACAACAGCAGGAGCTGGTTTATTGTAGCTAACGCTGTTACGGCTGCATGCATGTGGGTTTGCTCATGCTCCAGTGGGAACTGTAAATCTAATGAACTTTATATTGAACTCAAACACCTCCACATTATTATACAGCTGTTGTTCAGTGGCAGGCAAGGAAAACATCAAATAGATGAACAACCAAAAGCCTTAATGCTCTAACTTGGGGTTCAGTCAACAAGAAAACCTACTGATGGCTTGTTTGTCTATACAAATAATTTTTTATTATTCAATCACCCCCACCTTATTCTTACTGCCCCACCCAGACTCCCTTTCCTCCAGTCACACTTTGTACAAATCCCTTTCATCCAGTCTATCGGCCTCATAACTTCTTTCAACTCTTTTCCATCCAAAGAATACGTCCATCCTTCTTCATGACCTCCTTTCATCCCACTCATCCTCCTTGTGCCTTTTCACAAAACATTTCCATCCCACTTATCTCCCTCATCCTTCTCCCATATGATCCCTTCCTGATGACTCTCAGTCATTCACCTCTCTTTGAAGAGAAGCCATCGTTGTGGTCCTTGCCGCTGAACTGATTGTTAAACACTGTAGTTGGATTAAAAATGCAGCCGCCTACAACTAGGTTGAAGCACTCAGCCTCTGAGTCCAATCAGCTCTTGACATAAAACAGTCGATTTATTTATTTAGCTGGTTTTCTTTCAGATTTCTGCGACCACTTCAATAGAGAATGAAAGGAGAAAGAAAAAAAAATACGAGCACTAAAGGCTTGAAGTGTAATAGACCCTTCAAGTGTTGGCATTTTCACCGCCTATTGTGCTTAAAAGGCACACTTAAGATTCTCTGACATTCTACAGAGCCGCGATGGCTTTCTTACTTTGCAACCAGAGAGGAGTGACGCCCACGCTCTGCGCATCAGCCCCTCACAGCTGCCGGTGATTTCATGCAAGTGCGTGACTCCGGCTGCAAATGCACGCTGAATTGCATGCATTAGCACACACCCAGCTGCTGCTGCATGTCCAAATGCACACCAACGAAGGATGACACCTTTGAGGGGCCTGTCAATCACAAGGGCAGAGACGGGGATCAGGGGAGAACTGGCAAGCAAAAACTGTTCAAAAATATATCAGGGATGGCAAAGAATGGCTGAGGCAGACAGGAAGCCTCACATGCACACACAGACGTGGCTTTATCTGGTGTGACTGTGCAGACCGACAGTCATTGTTGAGAAGCCCATGGAGGGAACGGTGTGAAGGAGGCTATCGGCGCTCAGAGCCTCAGCAGATTAAGCCCTTTGGGGAGAAATCCTGCAGCCTCAACACTTTTTTCCTCTGAGCTGCCCATTGAGCGGCCTCCAAGGAAGGCAGGGAGAGAGTTGGAGAGTGGAGAGAAAGGGATTACAGTGGAGAGGAAAAACTGGTGGAGGAAGAGAGCGGGGATGAAAGGGAGGTAGAGGGAGACGAGTAAGGAGGGCCGGATAAAAGACGGATTGAGGGGGTAAAAAGGGAGACAGGGATTGATCGGGAAGGGGGGAGGGGAAGAGGAGGGTTGATTTATGATGGGTGGGTGTGGGAAAAAAGAGCATGGGAGACGACAAGTGAGTGACAGATGTGTGGAGGAAAAGGTGATGAGGAAGTAGAAATTCAGAAGGTAAGATGGATGCAGAGAACCTGATGAGACTCATTAAGACATGCCTGCACTGTGGAGACTCCCTGTGGACACTGACCCCTCTGTGAAACCTCTGTCAGTCAGCTCACACACACACACACACATTCATACACATATGCACTATATTGACAAAAGGTGCTCCAATATTTTGAAGAAAACCCAACACAAAGATTGCTTCACAAGTATTTGTTCAAGAATGCCACCTTCAGAGTAGCTCAAGAACAGTGGAGAGGGCTTCATGGATTGGATTTACATTTCCAAGTAGCTGCAGTCAAGTGCAATTCAGAGTGTTGGAATCACTGGTGTCAATCATGGCCACCATGACTCTGGTTTAGTAGACATGTCTGAGTGACGGATCAGAACAAACATCCCTTAGTTGGAAGTCTGGGATATATTTAATTTATTTTCTTCTCAAGGAAAAAAAAAGAGATTAAAATCAGAAATTGAATTTAGTGTTTAAGAAACTGAAGATTATATTTTTAAGCCGTACTGCTACACATTCTACTCTGAATCCTTGAGCATATTAAGACAGTTGGACATATTTATCTTCATTCAAACACTGTTCCCCAAACAAAGACCTGAAAGAAGCTTTCTCGTCCAACACCAGTGTCTGACCTCATGAACACACGTCAGGTAGAATGATCAAAAGCTCCCAGAAAGACACTCCTAAATCTTTTGGAAAGCATTCCCAGAAGAGTTGAAGCTGCTGCAGCTGTATAGGGTGTGTCGAACTAATTATAAACCCTATTAAGAAGGGGATAAAACTCAAGTTGATGAGTATGTGAAAGCAGATGAACGAATGCTTTTGGCAATATGATGCATATGTGTGTGTAGTCACTGCCATACATCAATAGATGAGCGCATGCTCTTTTAATTTCTTGGTCATCATTCACACTTAGTAAGCAGAAAGAGGCTCTCTTGTAGTATGTGTGTGTGTTTTGAGTGTTTTCGTCAGTGTTTCTTGTAGGGAAGCACTCAGGAGCTGCCAGAGAGCCTCATGAATTACACCCGTCTCGTCTTGTGGAGAAGTCCATCTGTCTCCACACACACACACACACGCACACACACACACACACGCTGCATATGTTCCTTCCATGCAGCCACAAGAACCTTATTACGCCAGAACAATGACGCTAACTGCGTCCGCGCGAGGCGAGTGTGTTCGGAGAAGCACACAGAGGAAATAAAATTAAAACCCAGCAGAAGCACCGTGAACCTCTCCATGCTCCTGAAGCAGCTGCACAATCTAATTTTAGCCGATTGTATCAATGAAATAAGTAAACTCGCTCTTTGCATGTGCGCACATTTGAGTCACTCCCAATCAACTTGGACTGGGAGATGTCTTTATCTTCGTTATCAGAGAAAATGTGCAAATGTCTGCATGTCTTAGCTCATGTCCTGCCGTGTGTGTGTGTGTGTGTGTGTGTGTGTGGGGGTGTGTGTGTGTGTGTGTGTGTGCGTGTACATTCATGCTCTCATTTCTATTAGCTGCCTTATCAGGAAAGCATGGCTTCACGCTTTGGGATAAGCTGCGAGAGTGAGGAGGAGGAGGGCTGATAAAGCCCTTCATCATTCCCGTGCCCATACTCTCCCATCCCACCACCACCATTACCAGCACCTTAATTAAAATGTGCTATCACCCTGAGAGAGGGAGGAAGAGGGCCGAGTGGGCAGCAAGCACACATTCAGTCAACAGTAAGATCCGGATTTAATCTCAGACATTCTGGACTGAACCAGAGCAGAAGAATCTTTATGAATCAAACAACATTTTAAAGAAGAATGAGCGAGACATGGAGGATTATATCAGCCTGAATAAATCTACAGAATCATGGGGAAGGACTGCTGACTCTCATGTGGAAATCAAGAACCCAGATTCAGGAGGATGAGAAAGAGATTCGCAGATTCCTTTACGTTGGAAGTGAGGTTTCCACAGCTGGTTCTGGTTCTGGTTCTGGTCCTGGTTCTGGTCCCGCTGCGTTTTTTAAAGTCAACGCCTCAAACTGCCATGACATTTTAGAGCATTTCATGCATCTTTGTGCTTAAAATGTTTTTTGAGATGCTGATTTCATATTTCATCAGGACAGCACGGCGAAAGGTGCTAAAAGTTGGTTCTGTGACCATAGTGGTACCGAGCTTGATTGGCCAGCAGACTGGCCTGATGATGCAATGAATCATGCAAAAGGAGCCCCAGAATAGATGGTCATAATTTTGAATGGGCTGACATTTTTTATGTGACATTATTATTTTCTGAGACACCTGCAGTCATGCAGAAAAAAATAAACAATCAGCCAAAGAGAGAGATTTATAAAACGTCTCGAGGCAGACGGCTACTTTTTGCAGCCAAAAAGGTCCAAACTGCACAAAAATGAACAAGTGAAGAGGGGAAAACATTTTTTGTTTGATTTTGACAAATCAAATTGTTTTCTTAGTTTGGATCATTCCCCCTCCTCCCTCTCGTTCCATCATGCGTCAGGTTTTCACTCAGTGTTGTATTTCAAAGCCCTCGGCCATTGTGGAAGAAACATGGACCAGGAGGAAGCATCAAATTTTCATGGCTCAAAAACAATGCAGTCCAGTTTGAACAAGTAAGCGTAGAAACTCTTCACAGCCTAGGAAATGAATGAATGTCCTTCGACCCGCACGTCTCCCTGCTTCTGGTGCGTTTTTTGTGACGCAGGCAGGAGACACAGTTTCCTGGTTTCAGTCATGTCTCTTTCTTCGCCAATTCTGCAACTTTGAAGACAATCGGCAGCAATCTTCCCCGGAATGTAACATCCAGAAACAGTTTTTTTTTTTTTTTTTGTTAAACAGTGCTAAATGAGTTTAAAAGAAGATCTTAACCAACAAAGGCCTCATCAAAAGCAAGCAAAATCCCGAAATCCTCTTTGCCTCCCAGAGTCTCCTCTTTCCTCCTCCCTCTCTAACAGGATAAGTGGCCTGTGCTAATCAGCTAAATGCACGGAGCTGGCCATCCTGATCAATGCTTCAATGGATCAATGAAGTAAAGCAGATGGCTGCAGGAAGAGGGGATCTAATCCAGAAGTCTACCTATCGTGTCTCCTTGTCCCTCTATGCACTTTAAGAGTCAAACCTGCACCGCTAAGGCCCTTTGCACAAAAAAAAAAAAAAAAAAAAGCTTTCCTCCCCATCTGGGTGGAAAGGAATAAAATTGCAGAGCCGGCACAAGAGAAGGAAAGCTGTGTGGAATCAAGTAATGCTGTGGTAAGTTTCGGTTTGATTTGAGTTAGCTTTCAGGAAAACTGACTTCTTTAAAAAAATAAAAAAGAGAGACAGAAAAGCTCAGTAAAGCTGTTTTTTTTTGTTTTTGTTTTAATTCACACCCTTGACTGTTCTCTTTTGAAACCCTCTGTGTGCTCAAATCAGCTCAAAATCCATTCAAAAACACTTTGGCTCTTGACAAAGCTGACCCCCCGCCGCTCCTTTTCTAAGCCGGTCCCAGAGCTCCAGCTAAGACCCCCCAATGCGGCTAATGCGACAAAACAGAAAGAGCAAGCTTTGTTTTATTTATCGGGGTCTTGTTTTTAATTTCACCCTGAGCGCGGCGGCCCGTTTCCAGGAGCTTTGCGAGGAGCCCGTGACTCCCATACCTGACTGGTATCGAACCGAGCGCGCCGTTTGTCTTCAGCTATGAATGCTAATAGGTGACCTTGTTTTTGCAGCTGATGCCACTGAGGCCAGGCGGATCAAAATGAGAGGCGCATGGAAATAGAGGAAGAGCATCAAACTAATTCAAATGACAAGAAATTAAGAAATTGAAGCGATTATCACATGTGATGCAAAATAATAGGTATGAAAATTATATGTGGTCGAAATTTGACAGGCAATTTGAAAGGTGCAACATCATTCTCCACTCTTTATGAAGTGAACAGTCGATCAGACATTTAATGTCAGACAAAAATGTGTTGAGTAAATGAGAGAGAAATAAAACGGTTTTCAACAATCTCAAAAAGCAACACCTTATGTTCTGATCTATCAGGAAATCAGACTGCAAAAAGTTACAAAACCACTTTTAAGAAGTTAACCAGATGAACACAATTAGATACAACTTTGGAAAAAATTTCCAAGAGGTGCTGCCCCACAAAAATTACTCAAAAAATAAATAAATAAATAAAATAAGAGCATCAAAGGCTCTTATTAGAACAACATCTAACGCCTCAGTTAAGATCGGTGCAAAAGAAGCCGGGTACAAATGTTTCAAGACGAATCTGCTGCACACTAAGTAAGAGACAAAGGCCTGGGTCGAGTTTGCTAAAAAGAAAAATTAAACAAGAAATAAAGGAGATGTTTTTGGAAGGTTTGTTTCATGGCACATAGGATCTAAAACTAAAAGTATTTCAGAAAAAGAGCATCATACTTGGAGTTGAACATTGTGGTGATGGTAGGATGATCTTTGCTTTTATCTGATGGATTCATTAAAACATCAAAGTTTGTGACCTTAAGGTCAAGCGAGTTTGGGCACCGATCCACAGAACATCAACTCGTCCCCCTCTGAATTTAACAAAATGACGTTTAGCCTAGTCAAAGGTTAGGCTTTAATCTAATTCATATGCTGTGGCGCGTCCTTAAGTAGACTGTGCAGTTATTAATGCTGCTTGTACTAAAATATAAACCATATTACATATAAAACATTGTCTAAAGCTGAATTAAAGAAACATATTTTAATTAGAATGTGACATTTCGGTCTGTTGTACAATTACTTTCACAATAATGTAATGATGTTGACAGATTTTTGTAAAAATATATATATAAATGTACATTTTAAAGCATACTGTTGACGTTTCTCACTATTATTTCTTGTATCAAGCATTAAAAGCTTCAATAAACAAAACTCGCCTCAAGAAGACACTTATTCAAAGGATGCACAGCCACCCCCTTAATAAACATGCAAATAAGCTGGTTAATGGCTTGCATATTAATGTTTATGGCAGCAGTAATTAATGCATATATCATGGAGTCAAGTTATTGTGATGACAGCACAAACAGAGTGTAAATTTCTCTGCTTCAGAAAGAGCGAGGCGCAGTAAAGTAACAACAGATCGCTCACATTTTGATTTCTTCTGAGCCGATCCAACGCGCCAGAATCAGTTTGCTCCAAAACATTTAGAAAGAGCGCAGTGAAAACATATCAAGTTACTTCAGTCTGCCATCAAAAGCCAGGACTTCTGATAGTTTGGTTTTGTAACAAGTCTGAGCCAAAAACAGACGTCCTCTTTTTTTTTTTTTTTTTCCATCTTCCTCTGATTTTCCCCCACATTAACTGCATTGCCTGGTGTCGCCTCGTAACCCTTCATGCGCTCTGTTCCCTCTGTCCAGTGCCATTTTGACTCCGTGACCCCCTGCACGCTTTGATGTTCCCTCTGTTTGAAGCACAATCCCCTCTCCCTCCCTCCCCACACTGGATCTGCTCCCCAAGCTCTCCTACTGCTTGTTTCTAGTGCGGTTTAGTGGACGGCATGCTCTCCTCTCCCATTCCCTCCCCTGTCTGCTCTGCTCTCTGTCAGTCTCTGGCTGTAATGTGGCTCTTGAGGCACGGGCATGTGGCGCAGTGTCTTGGCAGGAGAGGGAGAGGGTAAGAGGAGTTTGGGGGGGGGTAAAGGGGAGCAGAGATGCCCGATGACTGCCAGGAGAAGCACATCTGTCTCTGATCTGTGAGTACATGTGCTGCAAAACACACACAGCCAGAAGCTAGAAGCTTTAAGAAGAGGAGAAAAAGCCCAAAACAGAACGACAGGAAGAGTATTTACTCCCAACTGTATGAGCAACCAGACTGCTATGGATGACTGAGCCTCATGTGTCATCCTCCCTACTGGATCACTTCTCAGCACAATGAGCCCTGAGTAAACAATCTGACTACTATATCCTGGGCTAAATGTTTTCCAGTGCAGTAGTTCCATTTTCAAACCTAATTTGGTGCATTTTCAGTACTTTGTGATCTAGTTACTAAAATGTTTTTGGATGGATAAATCATGACCAACCAAGGACAGGGAGGCTGAATTTGTCTTTGCACCCCTTTAAACACCTGTGTGGCCAAAAACTAATGGTTCCAATCAACCTGAACTCCTTCTGAGCTCCAAAACCGGCTAACCCAAGCACTCAAAACCTCCTAAATCCGGCGCTGACCACAATCTCCTGTTTTTATGATCTGATTATGGAGAGCGCAGCGGCTCAGCGAAAAGCCCCTTCCCCAAAGTCGCCACAGGCAGCTCCTGTGTTCATGCAGCACAGGAACTCTGGAGAAAACATGGAGCTCCAGAGGGATAGAGGAAAGGTGAACTTTTCCCCAAATCCCACCAGTTTATAACATCCACATTTTAAAGACTTTGCAGAAGAAAATTCTGCAAATCTTGACACGAAACAATCTGAAAAAGGGTTTTGAAAAAGATCCATCTCAACACTTAGTTTAAGCTTTGAGGAGAAGAATCACATTTAACACTCGAATTTACACATGGAACACGGTAGTGGCAGTATTATGCTGAGGGGATGTCGTTGTCTTATGAGGTATTTTAAGCGGATAATCTTTATTTAGGATATGGAAACAAAAAAGTGACAACAACCTGATCACAACCTGCCGTTTTTACAGCCATCTGAACACCGAGCCCCTGCCTCGACAAAAGCACCTGGAGCTGCTGGGAAAGGGAGAGTGGTGGTCGCTAATGAACGCCTTAACGCGAGTCAGACCCCGCAGTGGCAAGAGGGGCTTTTACGCACGCTTTATTGACCACCAGCAGAAAGTGGTGAAAATTGCAGGTTGCAGAAATGGAACAACCCTCTCTGTAAAACATGAAACCCTGCACCTCCCACTTCCTAATCGGAAGAGCTTTTTAATCAAGATAATGGGTTTGTTGGTTGTTGCTGATTATTAATTAGAAAAATAAATCTAAACAAACAAAATCTATACGCATGACGCACAAACTCTGGAAAACAAACTATGAGTTTAAAGGTGACGATCCGTGCGCCAAAAACCAAGAACTAAAGTCAAACTCACTGCTCTGTCCTCCGACTCCACATCCTAAGTGACACAGTGTTATTAAAAATCCAACCAGCGTGGTGGGAAAATCCATCTCTGATCAGGCAAAAAAGAAAAAAAAATATGCAAAAAAACAATGTGACTGTCTGCTGTTTCCACTTTGTTGGATTTAAACGCTGCAGTCGCTCAAAAACACAAAATTCCACATCCGCTTCGGTCGAAGCCAAAATCTGGGAACCTTTTAAATGAAAAGACCTCCGATGTTATGACATGACCATTCTGGGGAACAACAACATCGGAGTGATGCTCGAAAAACTCATCCAAGGAACAGCGAGGGAGCAAAGTTCTGGTGGAGAGTCTGGACAGCGGCTCCAGGGTCGCGTCAAGTTCCGACACAGTCCGAGTATCTCCTCCTCTGCAGCTCCTGCGTATTTTACGCACACGGGGTGTCCGCTTCTCCTGCAGCGATCTGAAGCCCACCGCCGCGCTCCGAGCGTCGGACGCAGCTTTCCCAAGAAAATCAAACTGGAAGCAATCAGGGCAGGGTACTAAACGAGCGGTCTTCTCCTGTCTCACACCGCGCCGCTCTCCGCTTCACAAGCCCTGCGCTCCGCTCCGCTCCTGCTCCGCTCTGACACCAGCGTGCGTCCCGCGTCTGCCTGCGAGCTGTGTGTGCAGCGTGTGTGTGAGTGATCGCTCTTTTGAGCTGAGCAGCTATCGCGTTACAGTCACGGCGCCCGGGCTCCGCCTCCACACACCCCTCCTGCCCTCCTCCTTCCCTCGCTCACTCCAGTTCCTCACCGTTTATTTGTAAGAGAGAGAGAGAAGGAGAGAGCAAGCCTCCACCCAACACACACAGCCCCTCTTCCCCCTGCAAGATGCCACAGATATGAACTCTTCCACCGATAAAGCCGAGATAAAACCACATTGTCATGGTAAAAACAAGGGACCCCAACTTCTCCAGGGGACGTTTTATCTCACAGGACCGGCAGAAGAAATAAACGCAGCGGTTCGCAAGTGCGCCTTTTGTGTTCAGTCTAAACTTTTCACGCCCTCCTTAATAGGAAAACTGTCCTGTTGGTCAGGGCAGGCAGGGAATGTCATAGAACACCAGTTTTAGTACAAATTAGAGTTTGGACTTTGATTAGGACATTTTATCACATAAATTCTCTGTGATCAAAACCATTCCTTTGTTGCTCTGGCTGTGCATTTAGTGTTATTCTTCATCTACTAATTGACTCTGAAGCGTTTCTCTGCCCACACTGAAGAAAAGCCTCCCCGCAGCATGATGCTGCCACCACCATGTTGCTGTTTGTTCAGGCTGCTATGCAGTGACAGCTTACCTTCCAGTAAAACCAAGAAGTTCAGTTCTGGTCTTACTGTATCTTTAACATTTTTATTCAACATTTCTAAATAATATGGCATGTAAATATTAGCAGTTACCACAGTAATTACAATCAAATAAGCACATAAACACACAAGGACATTATCTGATGTGCCTCAAAAATGTCCTGCAGGTCTCAGGCAAAATCTTAAACATGCTCAACTTTGCAGTTGCAACCAGACTGAAACTCGGCAGCGAACACGTTCACCAGGCTCTGCATCCTCGAAAGAGTGAGAAAGGGAGGAGACATGGCGCACGGCCGCCTTTCACCACGAAAAACACATCAAACGATGGCGGCAATGTCAGGGCCCTTAACCCACCATAGAGAGCCCACCTCAGCCCAGCCCAACGTCAGCCCTGCAATCAGCCAGGCCTAAATACAGAGCGGGGAAGCCGTGTAATAACATGGTAGTGAGGCCCAAAATAATCTGCTGAGAAAGGCCTCTGCAGTGTCCAGCCCATGTGCCCTGCCTGTGGCTTGTATTACCTTGTAATGGAGTGGACTGGTAGTATAATGACAGCATGTAACCTTGCTGGAATCTTTATTTGGAACAGCTCCGTGCATTCCTACCGGTCAGGACTCACGGGAATCCTTCTGACCCAACACAATTGTTTTTAGGGGGAACTTTTTTACCCCGGTCTCCGACAATGACAGGAATCAAACTCAGTGCTTGGAGAATTGTTAGAGGTTCGGCTTTTTCCAACAGACTTAATTCTCGCTGGATCCAGGAAGTCCTGAGACGTAAATGGCGTCGACGGCGTGACCCCCGATGCCCTTGACAGAAGGTTGTGTGACGGCTCTGCGTGTCCCCGTCTGTCTCCTCGGTCAACTGTCATCCCCCGCCCCTCCTCTTTCTTCCTGACTAGAAGACATCGACTTTCTGCTTTCTTGCGGCTTGTCAGTCATTTTTAAGCCCATCCACAGCCTAAGGATGGGCGGCTGTCAGACATCAATGAGATTGGTTAATCTGAGCCTCTGGGTGGGGGGGCAAAGGGGTGTGGGGGTCTTTCTGCTGGCATAAACCACCCTGCCATGTGCTCTATTCTGGATTTGCCCCTTGCTTGTGAGATTACACACCAGACATGAGTGTTGGGTGTGGAGAGAGCTCTGATTAAATGCTTTTTGATGAGAAAAAGTGATCTTTGCTTAACCTCACTTCGACCCTTCCACAGAGATAAGGAGAGGCAGAGAGAAGAAGCAGGCCATGTAAAACCGTCAAGCAACAGAGGGCTTACTTTCTGTTCCCCCCGCCCCATTCCTGTCCCTGAGGGTCATTTGATAGTCTCCTTTTCCATTTGTCAACATCTCTCTCTTTCCACCATCAGCTTTCAACCCCCCAAATATTGGGCCAACACTCAAGTGATGGAAACTGACCTGAGAGGGGGAAACAGCAAATGTTGTGAGCAACATAAGTTGGTATATTATTGCTGAATTGTTAACTGAAAGCATGCATTGCTCTGCAATAGAGCTCATTCCACATTTATCACCTTACAACCACAAAAGTACTGTTTGAATAGGCGCTCTATGTCATAGACCAACAGAAAGTTGTTTAGGTTTTGGATTCTTTCCTTTGATGTTTCTGTTTTGTGTTTGATTTATGAAGGGATCGTTTTGTGTAATTTGAAGTGTGGGGCATGCATAAATACAAGCCTTGTGCTTCTGCTTGTATCTTTTCAGTCAAATTGTTTATAGTGTTTTAAAGTGTGCATAACAAATTATTTGATGACTAACTGAATAAATAAATTACAAAAAAAAATAAATAAATTAAGTAGTGCCTAAAATGTAAGATTATTGCAACATAATTAGTGAACATGGCAACATTATGATGTGAGGATGTAAAAAATGTTTTATATTAAAATATCCTGATCAGATACAATCAGTCCATCTGCATAGCTGCTGCACTTTGAAATTCTACAAATAGCTTCATGCAAAAACAGCAACACCACTGCAGGAAGATGCTATTTTGAGCATGCGTGTCTCTGTGTCGGAGTCTGTGAAAGCGCCGCAGTTCTGAAGTCAAGCCTGTAGTTTTAACGCATGAAGCTCTTTTCCTGGTGTGTTTTTCCACAGCTCCCACCATCTGCTTTCTCTCTCATCTCTCTGCTGCACAGAACAGCCAACAAATGGCTGTCGCGCAGTCCAAATCCTCACCTCAGCACACCTGCGCTGGGTTCACTCATGGGTGGTAGAGGAGAACCCAACGGAGTCCCCTCCCCCCCACTCCCTCGGTTGTATGAATGTGTGTGTGTATGTTTGTGCGTGTGCATGAGAAAGAGTGTGTGACAGAAAGACAGAAAAGAGAGGAGAGAGAGAGACCAGGCTGTATACCGCCTCGCTTATCACAACCTGCCCCACAGACTGACAGCATGACTGATAACTCTCCCTCTCTTTCTTCTCCTATCACACACTCCTCTACGCTTTCAACGCCTCTCACCATCTTCTCGCTGTCGCCTCCGCAGAGCTGGTTGCAGGTTCAATTCTGGTTGAGGGTCTCGACTTTGGTCTCTTTAAGCTCAGAAACCTTGTTGCTGTAGTGATAATGAGTTAGCCTCCACTCTGGTAATGACATAAGACCGTATGTTATGCATCCAAGTAAATTAGAACATTATCCAGAGGTTGGTGTGTTAAAGGAATTTAATTGAAAAAGGGAAGCTGGAAACAGGGATAAACATTAAACCTTTTAAAATTGGATCTTGATACAAAAATATTACAATCATTGGTAAGAAGTGACTATGTGTTAATCTGTCAATAAGGGTGAGTACTGGAAAGTTTAGTGGAGGGAAAAATGCAGTTAAAAAGCTAAGCAGACTGTACAGCACAACAATTCTGAATTATTAATTCTGTCTGATACCTTTTTCAGCTGCTCTCCTGAAAATGCCTATTGATGCATATTCAACACACCAAACATTGAATTGGAAGCATTTTTCATCATCTAAAACTTGTGAGTATGAACAACATCCATCAATTTTGAGTTAAAGTACAGGGTTATATTTATGTGGACCAGATAATGGATGTTGTAATTCGGTTTTCCAAACTGGAAAACGTAATTATTATTATCCTGAATTATATCTAAAGCTGCTGTTTTGGGTCATCTATTGTGTCCAAAATGAATACAATTAAAGTATAAATGTAACTAAATGGAGGGGGTACTTATTGGCTTTATACAACATATATTTATGAATTAAAACAACATTACAATTAACTTGAAACAGATCATTATTAGCTAGATTATGATGCTGAACCTGCATATTCTTGTCTTGTAGGTTTTAATTGGACCTCAGCAAAAGGAATCCCAGTTCTTCAGTCATAATTTAGCAATGGCAAACCCTGCTGCATGCTGAAAGAATAAGAGGAGATGTATAGGAAAAAATAGCATCATAACATAAATGCATCTTAAGGATATACCAAATGGTTTTTGGCATTCAAACTCTCCCCGCTGTGTGTTTAATCCTTGAAATGTCATGTTTAATATATTTCTGTCGTCATGCTGTTCTTAGCTGTTGCAGTGACCCAATTTCCTCTTGGAGTCCCTTAAAATCAACTGATCCTTATCTTTTAAGTACATTTGCATGCATTTACGCACAGATCGTAATCTAACTTGAGATTCTTCCTTCTATCCACACATTCCTCCAGTGAAGAAGCTCCATTTTGTTCCCACAAGGCCCTTGTATCTTCTGCAGTGTCTTGACTCTCTCCAACTGTCACATTCCTGATAGGCCACCAAAGTTATGGGCATGCCCTGACCAGGGTAATAATTACACACAAACCCATACTTTAACCTTCTACTGTAATGCTCACGCAAATCTTCCCTTTGCTGTTGCCGTCTCCTTGGACTATATGGGAACATCTGGTGTCTGTCTACAGTCTTCCCACTCCTCCTCCCTCTATTTTTTATGATTTTTTTTCTTGTCAGTGCTACCTTCAGTGGCAGTAACAGCTCACTCATCAAAACACTTTCAGCTGCAGTAAGAAACAACAGCGGTGCCAGACAGAGAGGAGGCGTCGGAGTCAAGTTCTGCAGAGGTGTCTTTGCTCAACAAAGCAGCCGCGGTGGGAGAAGGTTTTATTATCTTCATGATTCTGTTTGGAAGAAAACAGACATGGCATGAATGTAAATATTATTATTTCGCCAGCTGACGTGTGCATGTTTCAGTGGTGTTTAAGATGCAATGCACTGCTGAGCCTTAAGGGGGCAGGAGACAGCATGGAGCCGAACGGGTGAGAGGTCCTGACTGCCTTCAGAAACATGCCTGAAACTGTGACTGCACTTCTTGCTGATGCAGACATTTTAATAGACAACAAAGTTATTGTTAGAAATATTAGTGATTCCGATAACAGACACATAAACAGATTTG